CCTCATGGGTAAAGGTAATGCTCTACCACCTCGCAGCACAGAGGCGCGTGATCTGTGATATTGATGTCGGTGGGGCAGCACCGATAGCGCAAAAGAGTGCGTCCGGTCGCACCCAAATATCGGGAGAAGCTGTCAGACTCTCATCAAAGGATCTATTAGCAGCCAAAATCGTTCAGCCATCCACGTCACCTGGGCGTCTCCGATAGTGGTGATCATCACAAGAAGAACGGAGTGGATATTCGCCTTTGCATTGATTATCGAAGAGTTAACCAGCTGACGCGTCTGATGGTTTATCCCATGCCGTTGATCAGCGATCTGTTGGAAAGATCTGGATAAAGCTCTATGGTACTGTTCGCTAGACATGGCTAGTGGATTTTGGGTCGTCGAAAATGACCCGAACGAGCAAAACTGATCTCAGCGTTTGTCACACCGTTTGGCTTGTTCGAGTGGCTGCGAATGCCTTTTGGGCTTAAGAACGCGCCCCAGATCTACCAACGTCTGGTGGACAATGCGTTGTATGGATATCTCAAGATCGGCCAGAGATCAGCTTCTGATGGCCCGATCGACGTGTTCAAAGATGGAGAACCTGAGACAGATCGACGACCGTCTATACTGGGACGCCGATCTTACATTGACGATATTCTCATACCAGCCGCGTCATGGGGATCTTTGTACACAAAAGTAGAACGGTTGCTGGAGGCATGTGATAAGTGGAATCTGTCTATCAGCCTCACGAAGAGCTCTTTTGGGGGTGCCGTAAGGTCGATTATTTGGGACATCGAGTGTCGATGGATGGTCTGGAGGCTCAGCCCAAGAACCTAGAGTCGTTGGTTAACATCCCGTTTCCCTAGCACGCTACGAGCTATGCAATCCTTTCTCGGGAGCTTGAACTACTACCGTCGCTTCATTGAGGATTTCGCGGTGTATGCCGCGGTGTTGTATGAGTTAAGAGAATCGGATTTCTTCGAGATCGGCCGATCTCAGCTTGCAGCAGGAGACGAATGCTCCAACGAGGGTCGATGGACGGAAGCCAAGGTTGCTTTCACTATGCTAAAAGCTAAGATAGCTACAGCTCCCATGCTCAAGCATTTCGACCCAGATCGGTCCCCCGTAATCGTGGTCTACGCTAGCAAGTGGGCTGTCTCAGCGGCCCTGATACAGGAGTACGATGGCGTGTACCATCCGGTGACGTTTACTAGCCGCACTTTAAAGCCTAATGAGCTTAACTACGGAATGGTAGAAAAAGAAGTGCTGGCGCTACTTCGTGTGTTGGATGTATGCTATACTACGCTTGCCTCGCGGGAGATCACTGTACTGACCCGACATTCTACGTTAGCCTGGTTGATGCAGTCTCGAGGGCTCAACGGGAGATTAGGACGGTGGGCTGCTTTGTTGTCAAATTGGACTATGGAGGTGAAGAAATGTGAAAGAGGAGAGGAAGAGATCCTGGGCATGTTAGCAGCGAGTATCACTCCGAGAGGAGAGGTGGAAGAGATGCTGATTGCGACTCTCCCCACGAAAAGACTGTCGACTCAAAATATCGATGCCTCCTCCAACGGTGGAAACAGATGAGGAGTTGCTGGTAGCCAGTTTCGATGGATCGGCTAGGATAAAAAAGAAAGGAGGGTCGTTCAGTGCCGTGATATGGAAGTTACCCGAATGGACGATCGTGGCGGCCGAATCGAGATATGTTCACGATCTGACTGTGAACGAAGCTGAGTATAATGGCTTGCTACTGTGCTTTGAGTTACTCGCCGGTCTGGATAGGGGGCGAGTAATACTGTGTGGAGATTCCAGTCTGGTGATTCGACAGATGCGCGGTGAGATCGACTGCAAGGCACCGGGCCTTCAGCTTCTGAGACACAAAGCGTTGGAGAAGCTGCAGTCATGGCCTAGTCACGAGTTTCTGCATATGAAGCGAGAGTGGAATCAGAGCGCAGATCGACTAGCCAGCACAGCATTGCAGAGCGAAAAGGGGAAGAACGGTTGTAGCTGAAGAGGATCGGCAAGATCTGATGACTCTGAACCGTCTCGATGAATTGTTGAAGCCCAAGCAAGATGGTCAGCTAGCTCGGGTAACTGCGATCGCGAGATCAGCCAGGAGGATACGTCATGAACCTGAAGTGATACAGGAGGAGATAGTACAGAGGATCAGGATTCAACGAATTGTCCAAGCTCAAGATGAAGAGCGTTGGATTGTCAATCTCAAGACATATCTAAGTGGCGATGTATCAAACTTGGATGCGGTAGAAGTGAAGATGTGCGCCAAACTGGCGCCGGATTACGAGATCGATGAGAACAATCTGCTATTTTTTTTTGCCCCATGGCGAAAAGAGAGTCGGAAGATCGCGATGGTTTGATGCGGTTGGTGATCCCTGAGACGTTGCAGCAGGATTTTTGCATCACTATCACACGAGTCTGGAAGGAGGCCATCAGGGTATTGGCCGAACCTATCAGAGGATCAGATCGCGATTTCATTGGAGAGGACTGTATCGGAGCGTTCAACGATATGTGGGCGAATGTACCGACTGTGAGACCGGGAAAAAGGAAACCCGATGATTAATGGGAAATCCCCGGGCAATCTACACGCAACCTATCCATTCCAGATCATCGCCATGGATCATATACCGTCGTTGCCCAAGTCCATCAAGGGGAACACCGAACTGCTCATTTGGGTCGACCTTTTCTCGGGATATGTGATTGCAAAGGCTAGCTCCTCTCGGACGGCACAAACAATAGCGGAGAATTACGAAGAATGTGTGTTTCGACGCTTCGGAGCTAGCGAGGCTATCAGGCACGATCGAGAACCGGGATTTATGTCCGACTTCTTTCGAGCCTTCAGTCGGATCGTAGGACAAAAACAGCGTGCTACTATGGCTTACAGGCCACAAGCAAATGGAACAGCCGAACGAATGGTGCAAACCCTGACACATTCGCTCAAGATGTACGTGGCTGAAGTTGACCAGCGAGACTGGGATGAGTATGCTGAGCGGCTCACATTTGCCATTAACACTGCACAAGATCGGATCCGGGGGATACCCCATTTTATCTGATTCATGGGTGGGACCCGCGATCGACTTTGGAGGCTACGCTACCAGTGGGGAATACGGGGACACGAGATCGCGATCCAAAGAGGTGGAGATACAAAATCCAAAGACAATACCTGCGAGCCCGATCTGCAGTGAACGATCGTTTACAAGCCGCGATCCAGGAGCGAGCGGATCGACACAACGAAGATCTGGAACCACACGAGATCGAAGTAGGAGCGCAAGTTTGGCTATACCTGGACCGAGTTAAAGAGGGATATGCGAAGAAGCTAGCGCACATGTGGCATGGGCCATTCCGAGTTGCGGACGTATGTGGAGATCATGCTGTAAAATTGGAGATCGCTGGAACCCCATATCGGTTATTTCCGATTGTACACATATCGAAGCTAAAAAAGGTAAAGACGTTCCCTGAACGCCCGAAGGATCAGCTTACGATAGAGGAATCAGATCGCTTGGATTTCGATGAAGCTCTGCTGCCGGAAGACAGTTGGGATGGCGATCTTGAAGAAGGGGAATACGAAGTGGAGGCAATATTGGACGTGCGATCTGGTAGAAAAACCCGTTATGGGCGAGTACACCGGCAGTTTCTGGTGAAGTGGAAGGGATATCCCGATCTAAGTTGGGTGGACGAGGCCGATCTACGTTGTGGGGCGATCTTGCAAGAGTTTGAGCGGAACCGAGTGAGTCGAAACCGTTTCGACGTAATGCAGTCTCATGAAGGCAAGTCGGACGAACCTTAACAGTTCGAACAAGTATGCGGGAGGTAGCATATGCGGATGTAGGGGTTGAAAGATGTGCTAGACGGTAGCACATGCTGGTGGATGAGGTTTTTGTATGTGAGTATGGAGATAGTCAAGTGAATTACCTTCCTGAATGATGTGGAGCGAGGAGGATCGAGATCGTGGAAGTTGCAAAGAATGGAAGTACCAAAAAGAAGATGATTGAATGACTTACACGATTATGAAAGACGATCGGGCTTGGATATCGATCTTGGACTAAGACGATGGAGCAGGTTTGAACTTGTCCTGCAGACGAGGGATCTGCGATCCGGGATGATCCCAATAGGCGTTACGGAACTGGTTGCGCCAAGGATCCTCTTGGTCTGCCATGTCCAACGCCTCTAGCAAGTCAGCTGGGTCGTTAGAGTGTCCTAACCCTGGATACCAAACTCGGTCTTCATGTGGGCGCGGATAGTGGAGGAAGAAGGGATCTAGCAAGATGTCGAGATCACAGTGGCCAGCGATCATGCCGCTGAGTATCATCTTCAAGAAGTTCTTCCAACGCGCTCCAAAGCGAGAACGGCGTTGTTTTCGTTGGCGCCAGAATGTCTGCATGAACCGTTCAGATCGCCTTTGAGCCGGAGGAATCGGGAAAGCATGAGTAGATTCCCACAGAGCTTGTCGATGAGTGGACTCAAGCTCCAGGTACCGATGACTCATATCACGATACCATCCAGTCATGGTGAATGATATCGGGTTCACTGGGACTATGATATTATCCCAAGGGGCTAAAGCATAAAGAGCCTCGATGTGTTGCCGCGAGATCAGCCCAGAAGCCCAAGTCCCCGTAGGCGGAGCTCGTCCATGATTGTAGAAGGGAAACAGAAAATTCCTGGGTTTGGAGTAGTGGTGAAACAACAGCTCAATGGTCATGGTCCTCACGCAAACCATCGCGATCCGCGAAACGGACCATGGAGCGATCTCGGAAGCTACCCGTCGGGAGGGCGCCAGATAGTTGGGAATCCACCGATCCCGTGGTTGCTGGAGTGGCGGAAGATTGTCGAAGTCCACGGAAGAGAAAACTCTGTTAGCCACTTGGCGTGCCGGAAGGGTGATGCTGTTTTCGCTATCGGACGAATGGCGATCCGAAAGCGCAGTAGACTCCGGAGGCGGACTAACAGAGCCAGTCTCGCTGTGTGTCTCCCCTGTTGGCGATACCTCCACGTCTTCTACGCCGCCATCATCTTGAATTTCGACTACGGGGACAGCCGCGACCGGAGTGGATGGGTACGAAAGATAACGAGGCTCCGGAACGTCTGGAGAAGGCGAACGCAACAGTGCTTGAGCCAACGCAGTAGCTGCGGGAGAAGCGGGAACAACCCGAGCGGCCGGAGAGGGGTTCGGGGTCGAAGATCGGGCATCCGATCTAGGTTGACGACGAGAGGCCGATCTCGATTGGGATAATGCAGCACGAGTCAAATCATCCGAGCTAGAATCCGACTCGGTCAGCTCCTCACTTCCCGATCCAGTCCCAGAAGCCGCGGACGAAAGCGGAGAACAAGAAGAATTGGGTGGAGGCTCGGGTGGGGCCAATCCGGGAAGTTTGTTTAAAGGTATTGAAGGGTTCAACGACAATAGCCGGGAAGCCACACGGGCGGTGGAAGAATCACTGGATTGTGACCTTGGTTGAATACGCCGACGCTTGGCAGGCGGGCCGGACGATCTCGATCTGGACCTACGGGCAAGCGATCTCGATCCCGGGGTAGTGGGAGCAGGGGGCGATCCGACCGGAGTAGCACTCTTAGGCGTCGATCGAGCGATCAACGCAGACGACCGGGATCCGAGTATAGCACTGTTCAGTGTGTCGAGGAGAGCTCGGTGTTCAGCTATAGCCTGATCCCGATCATGCTCCACCACCTGCAACTGGTCGTATATCTCGAGGTGTTCCGCAAGCTGACGACGTAGGTTGGCGTTCTCCGCCTGCGAAAGTGCCAACTGACCCTCTAGGGGAGTCAAACCATCCACTTGTTGCATGAGATCGCTGATCGAAGACAGTCCATCTGCGATCTCCTCCTGAGACTGAGCCAATTGCTCCTTCAAGTGCAAAAAATCTATGTGAAGGAAGGATTTGTCCATGGTCAGCTGATCACGCTGCTGTCGGAGAGAGTTGAGTTCGGCTTGGAGCGAATGAAGCTGAGCCCTCAAAGCATCCACCTGTCGTTCCAAGTTCCCCTGAGCCTCGTCGTTGGCACATATCAAAGTGCGTAGCCGACGAATCTCCTCCGATTGATCTCGATATGTCCGCAGAGCTCGATGGCAATCACTCAAAGAATGCACTGCGTCGACGTAGCGGCCCTGCATCCAGTCATATCGAAGCTGGACGAAGGAGACAAAAGGAGCGGCTGATCTGTATAGCGAATCAAGCTCGTCTTGTAAGCGATCCCCCGGACGACGGCATCTCGGTAGGATTGCTGGAGCGCATGAATGGTGTCGGCTTGGCTGCAGAAGGTAGCCTCTCGATCCCACAAATACGAGATCGTGGCCATCGTGAGACGAACGTCGTCGGCAGAGACTCTGGGAACGAAGTCGGTGACGCCCACAGCTGGAGCAGACCTTTCACGAGATTCATTAGCGGCCGGGATGTCGGATCTGGACGCATCTGGGGCCGCCGGAGGAGTGGGAAGCGGGAATGGCTCGGAGGAACGATCTGATAATTCCGCGGCGGTCGAGAGTGATCCGACCGATCTGGGATTACTGAGAGACTCATGTTGATCTGGGACGATAGGAGCATACCACCCGCGATCTGGCGATCTAGATGGCGAGTCTCGGGATGGAGACGAGGGTCTGGTCGGCTGTCGATCTGGCGATCCTGTGGGGATTGTGGGCGATCCGGTTGGGCCTAGATGGCGCGGAGACCCAGGCCGATCGGGGACCGCTGGGGTGTGTCCTCCGAGATCGGGCGATCCGGGCGACAGGTCGCGATCCGGAGACAGAAACATGGTGGGTCCTTCTGATGAGATCAGCGAGGTGGGTGGATGCGTCGGAGAGGCCATGAGACGGACTTGAGTGCTTGGAACGAAGTTGATGAGTGACTGTACTGAGGTCAATTGCTGTACAAAAGACTTCAGTACAGGGGGCGGTTGTGGCAAAGTCACTACTCAAATTTTGTACGAGGATCGGTGGCCACACCTTTAAAGCGCCGCTTACTGGTGGAAAAGGAGGCCATGAGACTCGGCGATCCAATACGGAGGTGGAAGATGATCTTAACGGGATCGGCGAACCGATCCAACTGTCGTTAGACTAATGGGTATGAATCGACCTGGGACGGAGCGATCTGGAACGATTTACATGGAACAATCTGGGACAAGGATCTGGGACCGGGTGATGGGATATGACTCTGCGACGAAGGTGTAACATCTTGCAGAATGTTATGGGGCGATCTGGAACCAGACGTCGGGATGAAGTCATACAGCTCATTGGAATGCCGGTCAAGAAGAAGTATACGTACATTGAAGCAGGCTAAGATCAGATCGCAGATCGGCATGTTGTGGCAACGGTTTGTTGGAGAATTGACACATCTGGGACAAGGTGACTCCCCAAAGTGCATCTGGGACCAGGTGGTACAGGTCGGTGAATCGGCAAAGAAGGTGCAACACCATACGGATCGGTGATACTCTTTACCGATCCTAAATTGGGAGTACTGATTTTGGTTAATTATACACCGATCTGGAAGTTTTGCATACTCAGGGGAGTCAAGGAAACCGATGTCGAGACGTATGAATGAAGTTGTCGATTGGATAACACTGGAGGATGATATTGAAGCACGTATGAGGAGATGAAAAAGTGTTAATTGCCGATTTAGACCGGATCGACCTCCAACATCTCGATATTGGATGACAGATCGGTCATGTTCCACACTGATCATGAATATATGGTTGATGAAGACACTGGATCATGTGGAATATACTTGGTAGAGGTCACTAAGTGATGTCAAGAAGTTTCATGCCGAAAGAGCCAGTGGAAGCTGTCCGAATTGACGTCGCAAAATGGATTTAGACGCCTTCGGCATTTGGGCACTATTTTGGGCTTTTGGGTACCAAAAATGGGTATTTGGTACCCCATTTGGGATTTGGTCCTCTTTTGGCGTTCAGGTACGGTATCGGGAATATTGGCGCTATCATTGGAGTACAGGGCACGAAATTTCGACACGTGGCAAGGGGGCGATCCAGATTCAAGGCGATATCGGTTTGAAGAGTGACCTATAGTTAAGAATAGGCTTAAGGGTAGGTTGGATAGTAATTTGGTTGGTTAATAAACAGACTTGAACTCTACTTCTTCTGCTCACGACGCACGTTATCCTCCCCTCTTCTCCAGGCAAGATTGATTTGGCTTCCCCGGCGGGTTAAGGCACGCGTGTTACAGGGACACAGAAGACCGATCTTGGATTGTTGGCCAAGATCGAGAAGAGCGATCCCGGGATATCTGGCCCGGATCGATCAAGTACTCACACTCAACTCAACTGCTAGGGTAGCAGCACACAACGGAAAAGGAAAAGGATTTTGGACACAGGATCGCGAGACGGCTCAAGTGGTCAGAAGATCTGGACAAGGCGTTCAAGACAAGACCGAGCAGGATCGAAGCGATCCCCTGGACAGATCGGCACGTTTCATTTTGGCGAAACAAGACACCGATCTACCCAAATTGCGCACTTCCGGCAAGATCGGCCGATCCCAAGACCAGATCGGACCGATCCCAAGGCAAGATCGACGCAGGACTTTTATTTGCTGAGTGAAGATTTCCGCACAGCAAAGACCCCGATCTCGAAGACAAATCAAGATCGGTGCGATCCAAGATCGGGATCGCAGAACCCCCCGTTCGTGGTGTGAAGATTTCCGCACCGGAAGCGAACCCTCAACCCAACCTCTCAGCGAGATCGACATCTCCCAAGGCCGTTACGAAGAGCTCAAGCCAGCCCAACCGACGGGTACACAAGGTGAGCACAAGGTCATACAACAAGGCACGGATCGGAGTACCCCCTCCGTGAGTCGGCAAGTCTGGGCAAGTGGAAGATCGACACTCATACAAGCAATTTTGTGAGATCGACTTCACCACAATGGTGCGCGTGCCCGGATCTTCTGAGGCCTCTGGATTTCACCGTGAGTCCACTGGCGAAGATGTCAAGATTAAGCAAGAACCTGGGATTGAAGTGTCAGCGACAAAGGGATCGACGCAGACACGCAGAAGCACAAGATCCTCAGATCATCAGAGTTTTGGGAGGGGCTCTGATGAAATGAAAATGAAAGAGGAAGATCGAGAGATCGATCTGGAAGATAAACCTCAATTCCCTCCTAGGGTCCCTTCGGGGGCCACCGCAGATCGCTCTGCAAAGAGCGATCTGCTGGATGAAAATCCAACGGTGAAAACCAAATCGGCGAAAGCCAAACCCTATATCTTAGTCGATAGATCGCCCGACCTCAAGCCGAAGAGCACAATCGCGAGATCGACCACATCAGAACGATCCGCGACGAGATCGATGGGATCAGATGTCAAAGATCGCCAGATCGGCCGAACCGTGCAATCGAAGATCGGAGCCAAAGAGGAATACGATGAAACACCAGATAAGATCGCGATGCCAAAGACGGAATATAACCCAATAAAGATCGCGTCCATGGAGAAGGAGACGACGGGTGAAGCGCGGGAGCGTGCAAAATGGCAGTACTATTATGGCCAGTTGAAGACGCTGCTCAAGACGGACCCAGTGTTCAAGATGTTAAGGCCCAAGGTGATTGGTCCTCTGGATAAGCCGATCTCGGTCCCACTTCACGGGACCAACAAAGTCGACGAGATCAATGTGATTTTGCAGATGTTGGACGACATGGGTATCTGCCCTGACGCTTTTGATGGAGATGAACTGCTGAGTTGCAGCTTGGAACAGTTGAAGGACGCGGCGAATGAGTTTGTAGAGATCATGATAATGCTGGTGGGCAAAGCGAATACTCCTGAAGACAAGATCGGGACGCCCTCGGGCTCGCTCTGTAAACACCCCGCGGGATCGCCCCGCTACGCCTCGGATGACTCCGAGAGCGAGTCAGATGGATCCATCAGCATTCGTCAGATGTCTCTAGGACCATCGGGTGGAAGGTTCTTAAAGGACAAGATCGGACAAGCCAAGATCGACGCCTATAAGGGACAAGCCAAGAGCAACATGCCGCAGAGATCGGCCAGTACCCGCACTGGGCTGGAGGATCAAGAAGAGGGCGATCTAAGTCGGTACTTCAATTCAGCCATGAAGAAGTACGAGGCGGAGCAACGTACAGCTCAGCGAATGAATCGACAGCCAAACCGCTACCCAGATCGACGTACTTTGCTCCAACCTTCACACGAAAGCCTTGACATGCCGGATGTGGAGATGGAGTCGGTGGGGTCGGACATTTACCAACATATCCATGAGGCGGCGGAATACGACCCGGATGATCTATGGATGCCCGAACCACGGCGCCCTCAAGTAGCCGCGACCGGTGCGACTACCGGAGGGGGAAACATCACGCAGAGGATCAGAATCTCAGCGATTTCTGAGCTGAAAGAATTCTCAGGGAAGGATCGGGAAGAAGACAAAGCACGGACCTGGATCGGCAAAGTGAAATCAGCGTTTATCCGGGACCAAGCACCGGACGAGGAGAGATGTCTGGTCTTCGGTGATCTCATGGTGGGCCCAGCCCGCTACTGGTACCGACAGCTGAGTAGATCGACGAGATTCAATTGGAAAGAATTGATGAACAGTTTTCTTGTGGAGTATGCGGGACACGGGATGTCCGCGAGCAGGCAATACTACCATGCAAAGAAACGATCGGAGGAAGATCCTTTACAGTACCTGTATCGGCTTAATGTGATGGGAATGCAGGCGAAGATACCGGTGATGACTGGATTGCCAGCTGCGCGCAAGGAACATGTCAATCATTTCATTGACACCTTGGACGACCCCGATCTGTCCAATCAATTGCTACTGCTGAATGTAGAAGACGCGGAGGCCATGCAAAAGACACTGCACGGATATCAACAAGGGAGATCGCGTCAAGGGAAAGTGATGATGGGATCGTCCAAATTCAGGCAGAAGGGAACTCAGGGTCCAGCGCTGTCTAAGCCTGCACGAGCGGTAAGGATGGTCCGTACCGAGGACGTCTGCAGCGAGTCAGGATCAGACACCTGCGGATCGGATTTGGAAGATCGATTGAGATCGATCCATGTGGCTGCTACTGCGGATCGCCGTTCATCCCCCAATGACGTTGCAGCAAACGCGAGATCGGCCGACCCGAACACTCGTCAAGACTATCAAGACCGCAATATGCCATTGAAGCCGTGTACTCATTGCGGATCGACCAAGCATGGAGATCTCGGTTGTTGGAAGCGGCTCACTTGCCAGAAGTGTGGGCGTAAAGGACACCCCTCTGACAATTGTTTTTTCGTGTGTCGTGCTTGCGGTGAGATGCACGACCCGGGGAAGTGTCCCATGGAGGAGTTCTACAACATGATCCGTCAGTGGTACGTCCCGAATAAGCATGCGGGGATGCTACCAGAGAAGGCCGAGAAGATGTTAAACTAGGACGCTCGCCAGGTTTGAATCTGGTACGAGCCGAGCGTTCTGGGCTCTGCATTATTGCATACGTGGAAAAAAAGAAGACAGATCGCGAGAGTAAGCAGGATATTGACGTGGAAACAAATATATCTCGTTCGAAGTTAAAACGTGTCGCTTCCGTGTCCCATCTGAAGCGGATCGATGAGTACTCACGATCTGAACCAGCTATGGAGATCGAGCTCGCTTATGGTGAATCTCGCGGATACTGGAAACATTATTCACCCGGGAAGTGGTTCAAACAAGCGAAAGCCGTTGGCAAGATCAACAACGTAAAAGCTACTCTGTTATTTGATTCTGGTGCTGAAGTGTCGATCATTGACACCACCTTTGCTCGTGAGGTCGGTTGCAATATTGACGAAAGTCAACGACAAGAATGTATCGGGATTGGAGAAACTCCGTACATGACGGTAGGACGTACCAAGATCAAGGTGACCCTCGCGGGATCGCTGGTATACTATTTCAATGTATGGGTAGGCGATCTGGCAGGGCAAGAAGCGATTCTGGGTATGGATTTTATGGTGCCTGCTGGAGTGCGGCTCGATCTAGCGGATGGCGCGCTATGTCTACCAGAAGAAATCCGCATTCATCTCGCAGGACGTCGCCCCGCGTACGGATCGAAGATACAACATATAACGGCGAAGGACCAACACGTGGTGATCCCGGTCGGAGAGTCAAGGGAAGTGAAGATCGGGATCGGAGGGGCTAAGATGAAGTTGTGGGTCGCTAGAGGACTAGATTGGGTCCCCACTGTGATCTCGGGGTGGGGTAAGACGAAATACCTGCAGATGACCAACATTGGCGACCGGGAGATCATACTGCCCACCCACACTATATTAGGCATGTGGGTCGAAGGCGATATGGTACCGCGGACCCAAGGTTTGGTGACAGTCGGGTCGGGGAAGTACAAGGAATGGCAAACTCTGGCATATGAGGCTACAACGGATCGAGTGAACGAACTCCCGAAAGAACCGATCGGACCATTGGTAGATCGTCCTACGTATGCCGCTCCCAAACGCATCTTGAAACGTCCGTCTGATGCGTTACAGAACCTGTCTCCGGCGATCTCCACGGTAACGTCGCAAGCTAACGATGACGATTCGCAAAAGGCAGATGCTGTAGTTGCGAGGGAAGTAACGGTCAGGGGAGCCGAACTATCGCGGATGGAGAACGGTCATGAGATCGGTACCCAACATGCAACGAAGGGAGACCGCGACACCGGTCAAGAAGGGCTACGTGACAGATCGTCTCTACCGAAGGCTGAGCCGACTGACCGACTGTTGAAATTGGGCCAGCCGGAAGAGACGAAGGAGCCTAAAGAAGAAATAATGCTAAATACTGAAGACGTCGAGATTGCAGAAATACCAGTTTATCACCACGAGAGCGGAGATTTGTTTGCGGAAGATATCGAGCAGCATATGGCCGTGCTACCAGAGATGTCGGCGACTACGGAAGAAGTTACGATTGAGGACATTCAGATCGGTGATCCCGATGTGCCTCTCACCACAGATCAACAACGGCTCAGATCGCTGATCTGGAAGAGCCGTCACCTCCTCATGGGTAAAGGTAATGCTCTACCACCAGCAGCACGAGGCGCGATCTGTGATATTGATGTCGGTGGGGCAGCACCGATAGCGCAAAGAGTGCGTCCGGTCGCACCCAAATATCGGGAGAAGCTGTCAGATCTCATCAAAGGACTATTAGCAGCCAAAATCGTTCAGCCATCCACGTCACCTTGGGCGTCTCCGATAGTGGTGATCATCAAGAAGAACGGAGTGGATATTCGCCTTTGCATTGATTATCGAAGAGTTAACCAGCTGACGCGTCTGATGGTTTATCCCATGCCGTTGATCAGCGATCTGTTGGAAGATCTGGATAAAGCTCTATGGTACTGTTCGCTAGACATGGCTAGTGGATTTTGGGTCGTCGAAATGACCGAACGAGCAAAACTGATCTCAGCGTTTGTCACACCGTTTGGCTTGTTCGAGTGGCTGCGAATGCCTTTTGGGCTTAAGAACGCGCCCCAGATCTACCAACGTCTGGTGGACAATGCGTTGTATGGATATCTCAAGATCGGCCAGAGATCAGCTTCTGATGGCCCGATCGACGTGTTCAAAGATGGAGAACCTGAGACAGATCGACGACCGTCTATACTGGGACGCCGATCTTACATTGACGATATTCTCATACCAGCCGCGTCATGGGGATCTTTGTACACAAAAGTAGAACGGTTGCTGGAGGCATGTGATAAGTGGAATCTGTCTATCAGCCTCACGAAGAGTTTTTGAGGGTGCCGTAAGGTCGATTATTTGGGACATCGAGTGTCGATGGATGGTCTGGAGGCTCAGCCCAAGAACCTAGAGTCGTTGGTTAACATCCCGTTTCCTAGCACGCTACGAGCTATGCAATCCTTTCTCGGGAGCTTGAACTACTACCGTCGCTTCATTGAGGATTTCGCGGTGTATGCCGCGGTGTTGTATGAGTTAAGAGAATCGGATTTCTTCGAGATCGGCCGATATCAGCTTGCAGCAGGAGACGAATGCTCCAACGAGGGTCGATGGACGGAAGCCAAGGTTGCTTTCACTATGCTAAAAGCTAAGATAGCTACAGCTCCCATGCTCAAGCATTTCGACCCAGATCGGTCCCCCGTAATCGTGGTCTACGCTAGCAAGTGGGCTGTCTCAGCGGCCCTGATACAGGAGTACGATGGCGTGTACCATCCGGTGACGTTTACTAGCCGCACTTTAAAGCCTAATGAGCTTAACTACGGAATGGTAGAAAAGAAGTGCTGGCGCTACTTCGTGTGTTGGATGTATGCTATACTACGCTTGCCTCGCGGGAGATCACTGTACTGACCCGACATTCTACGTTAGCCTGGTTGATGCAGTCTCGAGGGCTCAACGGGAGATTAGGACGGTGGGCTGCTTTGTTGTCAAATTGGACTATGGAGGTAAAGAAATGTGAAAGAGGAGAGGAAGAAATCCTGGGCATGTTAGCAGCGAGTATCACTCCGAGAGGAGAGGTGGAAGAGATGCTGATTGCGATCTCCCCACGAAAAGACTGTCGACTCAAAATATCGATGCCTCCTCCAATGGTGGAAACAGATGAGGAGTTGCTGGTAGCCAGTTTCGATGGATCGGCTAGGATAAAAAAGAAAGGAGGGTCGTTCAGTGCCGTGATATGGAAGTTACCCGAATGGACGATCGTGGCGGCCGAATCGAGATATGTTCACGATCTGACTGTGAACGAAGCTGAGTATAATGGCTTGCTACTGTGCTTTGAGTTACTCGCCGGTCTGGATAGGGGGCGAGTAATACTGTGTGGAGATTCCAGTCTAGTGATTCGACAGATGCGCGGTGAGATCGACTGCAAGGCACCGGGCCTTCAGCTTCTGAGACACAAAGCGTTGGAGAAGCTGCAGTCATGGCCTAGTCACGAGTTTCTGCATATGAAGCGAGAGTGGAATCAGAGCGCAGATCGACTAGCCAGCACAGCATTGCAGAGCGAAAAGGGAAGAACGGTTGTAGCTGAAGAGGATCGGCAAGATCTGATGACTCTGAACCGTCTTGATGAATTGTTGAAGCCCAAGCAAGATGGTCAGCTAGCTCGGGTAACTGCGATCGTGAGATCAGCCAGGAGGATACGTCATAAACCTGAAGTGATACAGGAGGAGATAGTACAGAGGATCAGGATTCAACGAATTGTCCAAGCTCAAGATGAAGAGCGTTGGATTGTCAATCTCAAGACATATCTAAGTGGCGATGTATCAAACTTGGATGCGGTAGAAGTGAAGACGTGCGCCAAACTGGCGCCGGATTACGAGATCGATGAGAACAATCTGCTATTTTTTTGCCCCATGGCGAAAAGAGAGTCAGAAGATCGCGATGGTTTGATGCGGTTGGTGATCCCTGAGACGTTGCAGCAGGATTTTTGCATCACTATCACACGAGTCTGGAAGGAGGCCATCAGGGTATTGGCCGAACCTATCAGAGGATCAGATCGCGATTTCATTGGAGAGGACTGTATCGGAGCGTTCAACGATATGTGGGCGAATGTACCGACTGTGAGACCGGGAAAGGAAACCCGATGATTAATGGGAAATCCCCGGGCAATCTACACGCAGCCTATCCATTCCAGATCATCGCCATGGATCATATACCGTCGTTGCCCAAGTCCATCAAGGGGAACACCGAACTGCTCATTTGGGTCGACCTTTTCTCGGGATATGTGATTGCAAAGGCTAGCTCCTCTCGGACGGCACAAACAATAGCGGAGAATTACGAAGAATGTGTGTTTCGACGCTTCGGAGCTAGCGAGGCTATCAGGCACGATCGAGAACCGGGATTTATGTCCGACTTCTTTCGAGCCTTCAGTCGGATCGTAGGACAAAAACAGCGTGCTGCTATGGCTTACAGGCCACAAGCAAATGGAACAGCCGAACGAATGGTGCAAACCCTGACACATTCGCTCAAGATGTACGTGGCTGAAGTTGACCAGCGAGACTGGGATGAGTATGCTGAGCGGCTCACATTTGCCATTAACACTGCACAAGATTGGATCCGGGGGGATACCCCATTTTATCTGATTCATGGGTGGGACCCGCGATCGACTTTGGAGGCTACGCTACCAGTGGGGAATACGGGGACACGAGATCGCGATCCAAAGAGGTGGAGATACAAAATCCAAAGACAATACCTGCGAGCCCGATCTGCAGTGAACGATCGTTTACAAGCCGCGATCCAGGAGCGAGCGGATCGACACAACGAAGATCTGGAACCACACAAGATCGAAGTAGGAGCGCAAGTTTGGCTATACCTGGACCGAGTTAAAGAGGGATATGCGAAGAAGCTAGCGCACATGTGGCATGGGCCATTCCGAGTTGCGGACGTATGTGGAGATCATGCTGTAAAATTGGAGATCGCTGGAACCCCATATCGGTTATTTCCGATTGTACATATATCGAAGCTAAAAAAGGTAAAGAAGTTCCCTGAACGCCCGAAGGATCAGCTTACGATAGAGGAATCAGATCGCTTGGATTTCGATGAAGCTCTGCTGCCAGAAGACAGTTTGGATGGCGATCTTGAAGAAGGGGAATACGAAGTGGAGGCAATATTGGACGTGCGATCTGGTAGAAAAACCCGTTATGGGCGAGTACACCGGCAGTTTCTGGTGAAGTGGAAGGGATATCCCGATCTAAGTTGGGTGGACGAGGCCGATCTACGTTGTGGGGCGATCTTGCAAGAGTTTGAGCGGAACCGAGTGAGTCGAAACCGTTTCGACGTAATGCAGTCTCATGAAGGCAAGTCGGACGAACCTTAACAGTTCGAACAAGTATGCGGGAGGTCCGCGAAACGGACCATGGAGCGATCTCGGAAGCTACCCGTCGGGAGGGCGCCAGATAGTTGGGAATCCACCGATCCCGTGGTTGCTGGAGTGGCGGAAGATTGTCGAAGTCCACGGAAGAGAAAACTCTGTTAGCCACTTGGCGTGCCGGAAGGGTGATGCTGTTTTCGCTATCGGACGAATGGCGATCCGAAAGCGCAGTAGACTCCGGAGGCGGGCTAACAGAGCCAGTCTCGCTGTGTGTCTCCCCTGTTGGCGATACCTCCACGTCTTCTACGCCGCCATCATCTTGAATTTCGACTACGGGGACAGCCGCGACCGGAGTGGATGGGTACGAAATATAACGAGGCTCCGGAACGTCTGGAGAAGGCGAACGCAACAGTGCTTGAGCCAACGCAGTAGCTGCGGGAGAAGCGGGAACAACCCGAGCGGCCGGAGAGGGGTTCGGGGTCGAAGATCGGGCATCCGATCTAGGTTGACGACGAGAGGCCGATCTCGATTGGGATAATGCAGCACGAGTCAAATCATCCGAGCTAGAATCCGACTCGGTCAGCTCCTCACTTCCCGATCCAGTCCCAGAAGCCGCGGACGAAAGCGGAGAACAAGAAGAATTGGGTGGAGGCTCGGGTGGGGCCAATCCGGGAAGTTTGTTCAAAGGTATTGAAGGGTTCAACGACAATAGCCGGGAAGCCACACGGGCGGTGGAAGAATCACTGGATTGTGACCTTGGTTGAATACGCCGACGCTTGGCAGGCGGGCCGAACGATCTCGATCTGGACCTACGGGCAAGCGATCTCGATCCCGGGGTAGTGGGAGCAGGGGCCTATACGACCGGAGTAGCACTCTTAGGCGTCGATCGAGCGATCAACGCAGACGACCGGGATCCGAGTATAGCACTGTTCAGTGTGTCGAGGAGAGCTCGGTGTTCAGCTATAGCCTGATCCCGATCATGCTCCACCACCTGCAACTGGCCGTATATCTCGAGGTGTTCCGCAAGCTGACGACGTAGGTTGGCGTTCTCCGCCTGCGAAAGTGCCAACTGACCCTCTAGGGGAGTCAAACCATCCACTTGTTGCATGAGATCGCTGATCGAAGACAGTCCATCTGCGATCTCCTCCTGAGACTGAGCCAATTGCTCCTTCAAGTGCAAAAAATCTATGTGAAGGAAGGATTTGTCCATGGTCAGCTGATCACGCTGCTGTCGGAGAGAGTTGAGTTCGGCTTGGAGCGAATCAAGCTGAGCCCTCAAAGCATCCACCTGTCGTTCCAAGTTCCCCTGAGCCTCGTCGTTGGCACATATCAAAGTGCGTAGCCGACGAATCTCCTCCGATTGATCTCGATATGTCCGCAGAGCTCGATGGCAATCACTCAAAGAATGCACTGCGTCGACGTAGCGGCCCTGCATCCAGTCATATCGAAGCTGGACGAAGGAGACAAAAGGAGCGGCTGATCTGTATAGCGAATCAAGCTCGTCTTGTAAGCGATCCCCCCGGACGAAGGCATCTCGGTAGGATTGCTGGAGCGCATGAATGGTGTCGGCTTGGCTGCAGAAGGTAGCCTCTCGATCCCACAAATACGAGATCGTGGCCATCGTGAGACGAACGTCGTCGGCAGAGACTCTGGGAACGAAGTCGGTGACGCCCACAGCTGGAGCAGACCTTTCACGAGATTCATTAGCGGCCGGGATGTCGGATCTGGACGCATCTGGGGCCCCCGGAGGAGTGGGAAGCGGGAATGGCTCGGAGGAACGATCTGATAATTCCGCGGCGGTCGAGAGTGATCCGACCGATCTGGGATTACTGAGAGACTCATGTTGATCTGGGACGATAGGAGCATACCACCCGCGATCTAGCGATCTAGATGGCGAGTCTCGGGATGGAGACGAGGGTCTGGTCGGCTGTCGATCTGGCGATCCTGTGGGGATTGTGGGCGATCCGGTTGGGCCTAGATGGCGCGGAGACCCAGGCCGATCGGGGACCGCTGGGGTGTGTCCTCCGAGATCGGGCGATCCGGGCGACATGTCGCGATCCGGAGACAGAACCATGGTGCGTCCTTCTGATGAGATCAGCGAGGCCAGTGGATGCGTCGGAGAGGCCATGAGACGGACTTGAGTGCTTGGAACGAAGTTGATGAGTGACTGTACTGAGGTCAATTGCTGTACAAAGACTTCAGTACAGGGGGCGGTTGTGGCAAAGTCACTACTCAAATTTTGTACGAGGATCGGTGGCCACACCTTTAAAGCTCCGTTTACTGGTGGAAAAGGAGGCCATGAGACTCGGCGATCCAATACGGAGGTGGAAGATGATCTTAACGGGATTGGCGAACCGATCCAACTGTCGTTAGACGAATGGGTATGAATCGACCTGGGACGGAGCGATCTGGAACGATTTACATGGAACAATCTGGGACAAGGATCTGAGACCGGGTGATGGTATATGACTCTGCGACGAAGGTGTAACATATTGCAGAATGTTATGGGGCGATCTGGAACCAGACGTCGGGATGAAGTCATACAGCTCATTGGAATGCCGGTCAAGAAGAAGTATACGTACATTGAAGCAGGCTAAGATTAGATCGCAGATCGGCATGTTGTGGCAACGGTTTGTTGGAGAATTGACACATCTGGGACAAGGTGACTCCCCAAAGTGCATCTGGGACCAGGTGGTACAGGTCGGTGAATCGGCAAAGAAGGTGCAACACCATACGGATCGGTGATACTCTTTACCGATCCTAAATTGGGAGTACTGATTTTGGTTAATTATACACCGATCTGGAAGTTTTGCATACTCAGGGGAGTCAAGGAAACCGATGTCGAGACGTATGAATGAAGTTGTCGATTGGATAACACTGGAGGATGATATTGAAGCACGTATGAGGAGATGAAAAAGTGTTAATTGCCGATTTAGACCGGATCGACCTCCAACATCTCGATATTGGATGACAGATCGGTCATGTTCCACACTGATCATGAATATATGGTTGATGAAGACACTGGATCATGTGGAATATACTTGGTAGAGGTCACTAAGTGATGTCAAGAAGTTTCATGCCGAAAGAGCCAGTGGAAGCTGTCCGAATTGACGTCGCAAAATGGATTTAGACGCCTTCGGCATTTGGGCACTATTTTGGGCTTTTGGGTACCTAAAATGGGTATTTGGTACCCCATTTGGGATTTGGTCCTCTTTTGGCGTTCAGGTACGGTATCGGGAATATTGGCGCTATCATTGGAGTACAGGGCACGAAATTTCGACACGTGGCAAGGGGGCGATCCAGATTCAAGGCGATATCGGTTTGAAGAGTGACCTACAGTTAAAAATAGGCTTAAGGATAGGTTGGATAGTAATTTGGTTGGTTAATAAAACAGACTTGAACTCTACTTCTTCTGCTCACGACGCACGTAATCCTCCCCTCTTCTCCAGGCAAGATTGATTTGGCTTCCCCGGCGGGTTAAGGCACGCGTGTTACAGGGACACAGAAGACCGATCTTGGATTGTTGGCCAAGATCGAGAAGAGCGATCCCGGGATATCTGGCCCGGATCGATCAAGTACTCACACTCAACTCAACTGCTAGGGTAGCAGCACACAACGGAAAAGGATTTTGGACACAGGATCGCGAGACGGCTCAAGTGGTCAGAAGATCTGGACAAGGCGTTCAAGACAAGACCGAGCAGGATCGAAGCGATCCCCTGGACAGATCGGCACGTTTCATTTTGGCGAAACAAGACACCGATCTACCCAAATTGCGCACTTCCGGCAAGATCGGCCGATCCCAAGACCAGATCGGACCGATCCCAAGGCAAGATTGACGCAAGACTTTTATTTGCTGAGTGAAGATTTCCGCACAGCAAAGACCCCGATCTCGAGGAAAAATCAAGATCGGTGCGATCCAAGATCGGGATCGCAGAACCCCGTTCGTGGTGTGAAGATTTCCGCACCGGAAGCGAACCCTCAACCCAACCTCTCAGCGAGATCGACATCTCCCAAGGCCGTTACGAAGAGCTCAAGCCAGCCCAACCGACGGGTACACAAGGTGAGCACAAGGTTATACAACAAGGCACGGATCGGAGTACCCCCTCCGTGAGTCGGCAAGTCTGGGCAAGTGGAAGATCGACACTCATACAAGCAATTTTGTGAGATCGACTTCACCACAATGTTCTCAAGCGTTTTGGCATGAGCGACTGCAAAGCCGTCACCAGCCCAACAGACATCAGTTCTTGCCTCATACCAAGCAGTGCAGTAACCAAAATCGACGCCCCGTTTTGTGAAGCAGTAGGCGCTTTAATGCACTTGATGACCGCGACACGACCGGACATTGCCTTTGCTGTGAGTTACGTTTCGCGCTTCATGGAAAACCTCCAAGTCGAGCATTGGATGGCGGTCGAGCGCATTTTGCGATACTTACAAGGGACTAAGTCACACGGCATCTGTTTCAAGTCTGATGACAAGATAGACTTCTGCGGCTACTCGGATGCAGACTGGGCCGGCGACCATGCAGACCGCAAGTCGACTTCGGGATATGCGCTCATCCTGATGGGTGATCCGGTGAGCTGGGGAAGCAAAAAGCAGTCAAGTGTGTCGCTGTCAACAAGTGAAGCTGAGTGCATTGAATTAAGTCTGGCTATTCAAGAAGGCAAGTGGGTGCATCGATTGCCATGCGAGATTCTGGATGCCGCAGAGGACAAGTCTGGACCCGAGCTCAAGATCATGGAAGACAAACAATCGTGCATCAAGATGACGACGAATCCTGTGAACCATGGTCGGGCCAAGCACATCGACACTTGTGGTCCAATGGAAGTCGACTCGCTAGGTGGAAGCAAGTACTTGCTACTGACCGTAGATGAAGGCAGCGGATGCATGAAGGGTTTCAGTCTGCGCGCCAATTCCGACAGCTAAGAGTGCATCAAGAAGTACATCGTGGCAGTACAGACGCAGTTTGACTACAAGGTCAAGTTCGTTCGCCACGATGGTGCACGCGAATCTGTGGCAAATTCGCTCAAGGCATTTTACGATGATCAACGAATCGAGCAGCAAGTTACCGTTCCATATGCGCATCAGACCAACGGCACGGCGGAACGGGCAATTCGGACCATTGTGACGATCGGGCGCAGCATGCTTCACTACGCCAAGCTGGACAAGTTTTTTTGAGCTGAAGCAGCAATGACGGCGATCTACATCAAGAATCGCCTACCATCGCCCAAGTGCCAAGATTAAACCCCGTTCGAGATCGTCAACGGATTTCGACCAAGTGTGAAGCACGTGCGGGTTTTCGGCTGCCGAAAGTTTGTGCTGACCCCTAAGGAAAAGAGATCGAAATGGGATCCAAAGGCTCGTAAAGGACGATTCATGGGGTACGAAGAAGTGTCAAAGGCATATCGCGTTTACGACATTGAAGCGGATCAAGTGGTGATATCTCGCGATGTCACATTCGACGAATCAACATTTGGTTTCTCGCCGACGCTACCACAAGAAATTGTTGATGACACTGCGCTGGATATCGAATCGATGGACATCAGCGATGAGCCTCACCCTATGCAGTTCAAGCAAACTGGAAAACGCAAAAGCCGTTCAAACAGCCAAGAACAAGCTCTGCAACGGACACTTCCTGAGCGTCGTGGAACCGGGTTCGAAGAAGCAAGTGCACCGGATAAATTTGAAACGCACCAAGCGAAGCGACGGTCAAGCGCTCGAGCCAATCTGGACGAAGAGCGAAAGGGCAGTGACGAAGATAACGAGGATGCTACACCTCAAGTCTTTCGGCGAGCGAGTGTCAACGCAGTCGAAGGTACTGACTTGTCTGAGCCGACAACGTTTAAAGATGCTGTTGATGGACCGGATCAAGTGCATTGGCGTAAAGCTATCTGTGCCGAGTTGGATTCGATGAAACTTCGTGGCGTGCTTCGAGCGCCCAAACAGCCAGCTGGACAGCATACCATTGGCACCAAGTGGGTATTCAATATCAAGCGGAAATCTGATGGATCCATCGAGAAATACAAGGCGCGTCTCGTGGCAAAAGGGTTCAAGCAGAAATATGGCATCGACTACACGGAGACGTTTTTCCGGTAGTCAAGTACGTGACGCTGCGCATGGTAGTTGCAATCACGAAGTACTTTGACTGGACACTGGACCTACTGGACGTGGTGACAGCTTTGCTATGCGGAGAGATGAAGGAAAAGGTATTCTGCGCGATCCCAGAAGGGGTCGAAGTTGATGAAGACTTTGACTGCTTCGAATTGTTGAAGGCGATCTACGGACTAAAACAAGCATCGCGCGTATGGAACGAGACTTTCCATGAGTTCGTCTGCTCCATTGGATTCCAAGTATCCGATTTTGACCCGTGTCTTTATCTCAAGATTACAAGTGGCGAGTGCGTGCTTTTGCTGGTATACGTCGATGATGTGTTGGTGACTGGCAGCTCGACCGAACTGATTATGCGCACCAAGAGTGACTTGAAGGCGCGTTTCGAAATGACTGACAGCGGCAAGTGCGCATTTGTGTTGGGCATCGAGATGGTGTACAACAACAACGGTAGCGTGACGATGTGCCAGCGACGCTACGTGGAAGATGTTCTCAAGCGTTTTGGCATGAGCGACTGCAAAGCCGTCACCAGCCCAACAGACATCAGTTCTTGACTCATACCAAGCAGTGCAGTAACCAAAATCGACGCCCCGTTTTGTGAAGCAGTAGGCGCTTTAATGCACTTGATGGCCGCGACACGACCGGACATTGCCTTTGCTGTGAGTTACGTTTCGCGCTTCATGGAAAACCTCCAAGTCGAGCATTGGATGGCGGTCGAGCGCATTTTGCGATACTTACAAGGGACTAAGTCACACGGCATCTGTTTCAAGTCTGATGACAAGATAGACTTCTGCGGCTACTCGGATGCAGACTGGGCCGGCGACCATGCAGACCGCAAGTCGACTTCGGGATATGCGCTCATCCTGATGGGTGCTCCGGTGAGCTGGGGAAGCAAAAAGCAGTCAATTGTGTCGCTGTCAACAAGTGAAGCTGAGTGCATTGCACTTAGTCTGGCTATTCAAGAAGGTAAGTGAGTGCATCGATTGCTGTGCGAGATTCTGGATGCCGCAGAGGACAAGTCTGGAATCGAACTCAAGATCATGGAAGGCAACCAATCGTGCATCAAGATGACGAATAATCCTATGAACCACGGTCGGGCCAAGCACATCGACATCAAGTACCATCACATTCGTGATGAAGTCAAGCGTGTGATGTCAAGTTGGAGTACTGTGAGACTACGATTATGTTGGCGGACATCATGACCAAGGGACTGCCAGGACCGCGTCACAAGGACTTGACGGCAGCGCTCGGCATACACGCGTGTTCGCATTGAGGGGGCGTATTGTGGGTTAGCGGTTGAGGTACTGTTATCAGCTACCATGGAAACTGTAAACCCATCCAAGTCGATTCCGCGTATTTACGATTAGTTTTTACCAATTATCAGACGCATAGGATGATTGGATGACCTACATGATTTATGATTCATGATTTATATGTGGACAACATATAAATCAGTGCAGGGATAAGTCAGGTAGATTTAACAAAAATCCACAATTAATCTCACTTCAAAATATTCCTTCTCCTACACAAAGTCGTCTTCACTTCACAGTGTAGACTTCTTTCAAGTTCATCAAGCTTCGTTCTCTCGCCCAGTGCTCGTTACATCTAACATGTGATGAGCCCAAGCACGATGTCCTCTGTTGAAGATTCCGCCAACAAGATCTGTATTGACAAGTTCGACGGCGACAACTACGCGACATGGAGCCGCTACATGCGTGGCGTATTCCTGACCAAGTCGACGTGGCACGTGGTCAACCTGGAGACCTTTCCCACCTTCACCGATCCTCGCACCAGTGATGAGTACGTCAAGACCAACAACGTTGCGTTCGGCTTGATGTTACTTCACATGAGCGCAGACTACCATCACATCGTCGATGACTGTGAAGAGGCGTGGGTCGCGTGGGCGCGTTTGAAGACTCTCTACAGCGGATCGCAGAAGGCTGGACGGATCTTCTTGAAGCGACAGCTGTTCAGCATGGAGATGGCGGAAGGCGGCAATGTAATGCATCAGTGCAATGAAGTTCTCAACATAAGCGCCAAGCTCAGCAGCATCGGCGCCAAGATGGAGGACGAGGACGTGGCGATCTGCTTGTTGCGCAGCCTCTCCAAGAGCTACAAGAACGTCGTGCTGAACTTGGAGATGAGCAGCGCTGAACTGCGGACGCAAGATGTCGTGGAACTGCTGACGAATGAGCACATAAAGAGACAAAAGAAAAAAAAGACGACATCGGTGAAAACTGAAGAAGCTACCAAGGCCTTCAGTACCGAGCGTGAGGTTCGTCGGTGTACGTTCTGCGATAAATTGGGGCACACAGTAGAGAAGTGCTGGACCAAGCAGAAGGAAGAAAATCGGGGAGCTCGACGCGGCGGCAATGCTTGTGGACGCGGAGCAAATCAAGCTCAGTGGCAAGGCTACAACTGCAACAGCAACTATGACTGTAATCGAGTGGTGTTTGCTGTTTCGCTGGAATGCGGACTTTCAACGACCAAGAGCATATTTGGAATGTGGGCGATTTACAGCGGTGCAACACATCACATCTGCTATGACAAGTCCAAGTTCGAAGTTCTGGACGAATGAAACGAAGGTGAAGTGCTGGTTGCAGATGGGAACAAGGCTGCGATCAACGGTGTCGGGACAATGGTCAAAAAGGTGATCCTGTCCAACGGTGAAATGCGCGAAGTCGAGATCAAGAACGCGCTTTACGTCCCAAGCATGAACAAGAACTTGCTGTCGATACCACAAATCAACAAAAGCGGCAAGTTACAAGTGGTGTTTGATAGTGACAAGATGAAGATTTCGCACAAAGGCTCCAAGCAAGTAGTGGCGATGGCCGATCTTGTGGATGGCATCTACTGGCTTCGTACTGAAGAACTTTAGACTTCTTGGTCCGAGTGCAAAACGCAAAGTGAATAAATATTTATAGTAGGTACTTAGTTCGCAACTTTGAATACCACCTCGAAGCCTATTATTCGCATTGACGTCATTCAATGACGTCATTCCCTGACTTCGCCCTTACTGGTACATACCGGTACCCACCGGTATTTCGAAGCTTGGTCTTCGGCTTGCTTCAACGCTTGACCCAGCTTGATGAGGTGTCTCCTTCACAGCCGCCGTCTTTCCAACACTCCTTCTCGACTCGTTAGCTGCGGCACCTTGGATCCCAAGTCGATCGCGAATGTCTTCAAATTGTACAGCGGCGATCGACTTGGTCATCATGTCCGCCAGCATATCTTGAGTCGGGCAATACTAAAAATCGACTTCGCCCGATTCCACCTTCTCACGCACAAAACGGTAGCGTATGTTGATGTGCTTTGTTCTCTTATGAAACCTCGGGTTCTCGGCGAGAGCGATTGATCCTTGGTTGTCTTTAGACATCTTTATCGCTTCGTCGCTTGCCATCTCACCAAGTTCCCTCAACAACACCTTGAGCCATACTGCTTCTTTGGTTGCTTCGGAAAGCGCCATGTTTTCTGCTTCCGTTGAAGATAGCGCGACCGTCCGTTGTTTCTGGCTTTTCCGGCTGATGCATCCTCCGCTCATCATGAACACATAGCCGCTTGTACTTCGTCTTGACGCAATGTCGACAGCCCAGTCTGCGTCGGTGTGCCCGCAGATACGGCTTCCTTCTTTACGTGCGAACTCAAGACCATGATTGGGCGTTGCTTGCAGGTATCTCAGCACACGCTTCAAAGCTTGCCAGTGAGTCGGGCATGTGTCGGACGAGAACTGGGATAATGATCCCACTGCAGCAGCTAGATCCGGACGTGTGGCGACCATGAGATACATGATGCCTCCGACAGAACTTCGATATGGCACGATGCACATGGTGTCTTCGTGCTTGCATTCTTGGTCACACATGTTCTTGGTGAGCTTCAGATCGGGACCTTGAGGCGTCTTCACTGGCTTGCTGTTATCCATTCCGAACTTGGTTAACACGGACTTGAGAAACTTGGTTTGTTGTACAGTCACCATTCCCGTCTTACGGTCGTTCTTGATCTCCATGCCGAGAAAGTAATCGAGCTCACCGAGATCCGTCATTTCGAAGCGTTTGCTCAGCGCCATCTTGGTTGACTTGAGGAGTTCGTTGTTGCTGCTGGCCAGGATGAGATCATCGACGTAGAGCACCACGAGAATCATGTCTTGGTCGTCTCGCTTGATGTAGATGCAGTGGTCCGATTCGCACTTCTTGAATCCCATCTTGATCATGAACCCATCGATTGTTTGGTTCCACATGCGAGGCGATTGCTTCAAGCCGTAGAGTGATCTCTTTAGCTTGCACACATAGTCCGGCTGTGTTGCATCCAGGTATCCGTCCGGCTGGTCCATGTAGATGTCTTCGTTGAGGGAGCCGTTAAGAAACGCTGTCTTGACGTCCATCTGATGTAGCATTAGGCCGTACTTAGCCGCCATACTGAGCACCACACGAATCGATGTGAACTTGGCCACCGGTGCGAAAGTTTCTTCATAGTCAACTCCGAATTTCTGTGAGAATCCTTTGGCCACAAGTCTTGCCTTGAAACGTTCAACTTCGCCATCTTGATTCTCCTTTACACGAAAAACCCATCGGCACCCGATGGCCTTGCGACCTTTCGGAAGAGGCACGATTTCCCACGTGTCGTTTATCTGAAGCGAGTCGAACTCCGAGTCACACGCTGCTTTCCACTTGCCGGAGTCACTTAATTCCATCGCCGACTTGAATGTAGTCGGCGTTTCCCCCACTGAATCAACGATGTAGGCTGCTTCAAAATCCATCGCAGTCGCTGACACACGCTCAAGGGACTTGGAATGATGGTGGCTTTCTCAAGTGATTGAGTGCGCGTGTGTCTCTTGATGTTGCTCTTCGAAGACCTGGTGTCTTCGTCGTCATCGTCGCTCGAGTTCATGTCGTCGTCAGTTTTACCTTCTTCTTTTTCTTCGTCCTCATCATGATCATCAAACTCAACGACACTTGAATCATCGTTGTAGTTGCGCGGACCTTCATCAAACTTGTCTTCCATGAACGTGGCATCGCGACTGATCTTGATCGCTCCTGTTGATACTTCCTCGAATCGATATGACTTCTGGTGTTCGGCGTACCCCAGGAAACAACAGAGTGATGACTTGGAGTCGAATTTTGCGCGTTTGTCTTGAGGCACTTGAACATACGCGTGGCATCCAAACACTTTAAGGTTGGCCAGAATCGGTTTCTTCATCGTCCACACTTTAAATGGAGACTTGTCTTGGTGGATGGCACGTGTTGGACAGCGGTTTCGAAGAAACATCGCCGTCATCACTGCTTCACCCCAGTAGCTCTTTCCCAGTCCAGCATGTTCCATCATACAGCGCGCACACTCGACCAGCGTGCGATTCATTATCTCAGCAACTCCCTTGAGATGAGGAGTATATGGGGGTGTGAAACTTTGTTGTATCCCCCGTTCCGCGCAGAATCGTGCCAACTTGTCGGACTTGTACTCACCCCCATTGTCGCTTTAAATGGTACTTCACGCGCTTTCCGGTTTGCGTTTCGGCCATCGCAGCGTATTCCATGAACTTCGCCGCAACTTCAGATTTGCCTTTGAGCATATACACGACACAGTATCTTGACTTGTCGTCGATGAATGTCACAAAGTACCGCTTTCCACTATAAGTTGCCATCGACATCGGTCCGCATACGTCGCTGTGAATCACTTCGAGCAGTTTGGAGGTGCGAGCTGTAGTGTTCGATTGGAAGCGCGTTCGAGTCTGCATTCCCGGAGCACAACCTTTACACACGTCCCACTTCTTCACCGAAGATATGTCGATTCCAATTCCAATGTTCTTCGTCACGATGCAATTGAGTCCATCATGACCTATGTGGCCAAGCCGAAGGTGCCAGAGGTACGACTTGGGGCCCCCTTGACATCCCGACGACTTGTCTGCATTTGCTTGTTCCGGCGCCACTGGAGTCATTTTGCAGCTTGAACAGTCCTTTACCTTCACGGGCACCAATTTTCCACTTGATCCATTTCGCTTCTCCATAGCACCCATCCTTCGTGAACGTCACTGGGCCGACATCCTTGGTGAAGCGGCCGACTGAGAACAGGTTTCTGGATAACTTTGGGATGCGCCACACGTTTGTGAGCACACCTTTCTTTATCCCTTGGGGTGTCTTCATCGACATGACAATGTCCCCACTGCCGATTTCTTGGACGATTCCATCATCCGCGAGATGGACATCCACAGCGTCAAACACCTCGTTGTTCCGCATGAGCTTCTTGGAGCACGTCATGTGCTGTGTCGCCCCGGAGTCGACCAGCCAGATGCCGCTCGATTTCGCAGATGTCGTTTCACCGATCGAGAAGAGGTAGTCGCCCGAGTCTTCTTCTTGAGCGACGTTCGCACGTTGTGATCGATAATGGTCGCCGCTGTCTTGAGCGCGCTGTGGCCAGTGTCTATCCGTGTTTTCTTGGATGCGCGAGGGGCACCCCCCATCCAGTGACCAATCTTTCCACAATTGTGGCACGGCCAGGAATTCTTCACTGTTCGCCCTTTGCGCTGATTGTCCCTTGTGATGAACGCTTGACCTTGCGAAGCTTCACCACCTTTACTTCCTTTCTCCTTCCGCTTCATTTCTTCATATAGCAGTCGAGACTTCACGAGCTCTCAGCTAAAAGTGTCTGAGCGCGACTCCAAAGCTACGATCAAGAATTGATACGAGTCACTCAGGCTGCCGAGAAGTGTGATCACCAGATCGTCCTCGCAGACCGGAGCCCACACCGCTTCTAGCTGTTCCGCCAACGTCTTGAGATTATTGATGTGTTCGAGCACATCGTCGCCTTCTTCCATCATCGTCGTGAAGAAGCGCAAGAACAGCTTGTTGGCAAGACTCTTCTTCTTGAAGTGGTCTTCCAAACTTGACCATGCGTCGCATGCACCACCTGCCGACCGGACCAACGGTAGCTGGGAATCATCGATGGCTAAACAGATCACTGGCATCGCCTATTTTGACTTCCCCTTGTACGCCGCTTGGTCCAACTGAGTCACGCACTGTTCCGCCTTGATCTCGCCGCTGACGACCTCCCACAGGTCCCGTTCCTCCAGCACCATCTGCATCTTGAACTTCCAGGCGTGGAAGTTAGTTCCATCGAACTTGGAGATGCGGAGGGAGGAAGCGTCCATGGCAGCTAAGCTTGAATTGTTGGCGGTTTCAGAGTCTGACGAACTTGGGCTCATAACCTGAAGAGCTTTAGACTTCTTGGTCCGAGTGCAAAGCGCAAAGTGAATATATATATTTATACTAGGTACTTAGTTCGCAACATTTATATACTACCTCTAAGCCTATTGTTCGCAGTGACATCATCCACTGGAGTCACCCACTGACGTCATGCAATGACGTCATTCCGCTGACGTCATCCAATGACGTCATTCCCCTACTTCGCCCTTACTGGTACATACCGGTACCCACCGGTATGTCGAAGCTTGGTCTTCGGCTTGCTTCAACACTTGACGCAGCTTGATGAGGTGTCTTCTTCACAGCCGCCGTATTCCAACAATCCAATCATCCTATACGTCTAATCATTGTCAAAATCTCACCGTAATTATGCGGGATCGAATTGGATAGGCTTACGGTTTCCATGGTGGCTGATAACAGTACCTCAACCGTTAACCAACAATACTACTGATCGTTGATGAAGGCAGCGGATGTATGAAGGGTTTCAGTCTGCGCGCCACGTCTGACAGCGAAGTGTGCATCAAGAAGTACATCATGGCAGTACAGACGCAGTTTAACTACAAGGTCAAGTTCGTTCGCCACGATGGTGCACGCGAATCTGTGGCAAATTCGCTCAAGGCATTTTACGATGATCAACGAATCGAGCAGCAAGTTACCGTTCCATATATGCATCAGACCAACGGCACGGCGGAACGGGCAATTCGGACCATTGTGACGATCGGGCGCAGCATGCTTCACTACGCCAAGCTGGACAAGTGTTTTTGAGCTGAAGCAGCAATGACGGCGATCTACATCAAGAATCGCCTACCATCGCCCAAGTGCCAAGATCAAACCCTATCGAGATCGTCAACGGATTTCGACCAAGTGTGAAGCACATGCGGGTTTTCGGCTGCCGACCATTTGTGCTGACCCCTAAGGAAAAGAGATCGAAATGGGATCCAAAGGCTCGTAAAGGACGATTCATGGGGTACGAAGAAGTGTCAAAGGCATATCGCGTTTACGACATTGAAGCGGATCAAGTGGTGATATCTCGCGATGTCACATTCGACGAATCAACGTTTGGTTTCTCGCGATGAGAGGTAGAGATGATCCGAAATCCCTTTTATTAGGTGTATGTATAGGAAAATGGTATAACAAAGGGCGGTCACACAAAACGGCCCCACGATATAGCAAAAGGGAAGAAATAAATTGAGCAGAATTTTTAAAAAACAAGACATGTGTTTACTTTTCTGTTAAGTCCTTGCGTGGACTAAATTTTACCTGTTGTGTGTCTGACCTCGTGAGGCATAATTTGTAGAGATTTCTAATAATAGCGAAACGCTATTACGAAGGCTCGGGTCGCATAACGCTTGATAATAGTGAAATAAAGAGCCTCTTCACCAACAAGCCATCAATGAACCCTAGTTAAAATGACTGTCTTGTGTTTCTTCAACGACTAGCTGGTAATCCTCAGAATAAGGCACCATTTTAAGCTGTTTTCAAGTGACGATCCGGTGGGCCTTTAGCCGATACCACTCACTCATATGATCGGAACTGGCCTGTATTAGCGCGTAACGCGTCGGCATCCACATGTTGGTGTGAGGTCCCAGAAGTGTGTTGTTTAAAAGCAGCAGAGCTCAGCCAGTATAATGAGGAGATTGATTTTGAGGAAACGATGAGGAAAAAGGCAAAAACTGATCCCAAAGAAGAGAAACGCGAAGGAACGTTATCCTAACGTACTAGCCAAACTTTTCGCCTTATGAAGGCGATTGCTGTGTCTGTGTATTGAGGCTGTAGTTAAAACAGAGTTAAATATCTATTATACTACAGCTCTGTTTTCACGTTAGATCTTTGTTCTCCACCGATGGTTGATGTCGATTAAATTATTCTTTTTGCGTCCACCCTTCGTTCTGCAATAGTTGGTCGGCACAACACACCTTCATAGGATGATACTTACCAGTATCTAAAATTCGAGGAGTTGACTATCATGTATCATTCTCTTCGTGGCAGTGCCCCATGCAGCAACAACACGACTATAGGAAATGTTCCGAGCATGTCAACATAGAATAGGAACATTATTCCATCGCACGATTACTCGGCCCTTCTGAATGCATGTAAATGTTGTAACCAATATTGGTAGTCGACGAATCTACATTTGATAAGTATGTCCCTATAATTTTTATCGCTGTAGCTTAAGCATTTCAGTAAACCGCTTTTCAATACTCAAATAGTGACCTAGTCCACCTATGACCTCGTATACACAGCCATTTTGCATTTCTTTCTACCGATGACCTAGGAAGCGGGACGAAATTTGCATCCGGTAGTTTTAATGTCAATTTGTCATTATCCAGTCGGATTCCGGCTGGGATCTTGAAGGTTATTACCAGGATGCAGTCTACACCTGCATGATTATACAAGATTCCAACTTTATATTATTGGAGTTGTTCTTATATCAAGATCGTTCTTAGCTGTAGATCAAGACGTTAGAAACACATGTACTTGCTGATGCCTTAAACATTGAATGATTATCCTATCTTATTGATCCTTCAATTTGAATAGTTTTGCAAACAAGTCACTGATAGCCGATATGTTTAGCTTCGGTTTCCAGCAGTATCTTCGCTTGTTTATCATTCACTGCTTCCATGGAGTTTCGTTCTCCCTATGCGATCAAACTTTCTCGATTACACCACCCGATAATTTCTCCGGGCAATAATTTTAGCCGACTGGTCGTCTCAATCCGCGCCTGGGTGTTGAGTGATTCCGGCCGTCAGCATTTATCTCTTGCTATGGTTTGAGATGATCAAAACGTTTCCTATATTTCGTTAAAATTTCGTCGAGCCGATCTGCCTTCCAACAAAACTGAATACGTATTTCCAAAATATAGCTAATTCGACTGACTTTGGCGGTCCGTTGTTATCCGACCCGTTACATTCGGCGGGCTTGATAGTTTGACGGGACCAACCAATAGATGTCTTGGAGTTCTTCGAGTACGATTAATTTTCAACCAAAACTGGACGGACATGGTGAAATTATAATATTGCGAAATCATTCACATCGAACCGAGTCATGCAATAGTTCAGAAAATCGTTGGGGAATAAAGGTTTTATTTTTAGTTCATGTATCAAGATTTGATACATGATCTAAAGTGCAACCTTTCTTCTTTGAGATGAACTTGGCAATGGCGGAGTGCTGTTCATTTGATCTCAGAGAGATCAGCACTGCGCCAATGGCTTGCCCGGTTCTCGAACTTAGGCGTTCGACGGCATCCCATTCAGATTAACGTTAGGGAATTGCTAAATTCACACCCCTTTTCCTTAGATTCACACCCTTCCTTCAAAATCTTATGTTTAAAATCTTTATTCGTTTTCAAGATTTGTTTCTGACAAAGGTATTACTCGATAATCAAGGCCATTAATTGGCAAGTGATACGTAAGAAATACCTAAGATACTACTCACGCCTGTGGTCTAGCTCCTCCAGCGTTTACTGATAGGGCACCACACAATAACATGCTTCCTCCTCCCGAGGTTAAGTATGTCGGTGTGAATTCAACAATTCCCTTAATTAGAGATGTCTTGTAACGGGGTGAATTGTTACATAACAATTTATAAGAAATTGTTATTAGAATATAATTATAAGAGTTATATTCTCAGAATATTGTCATAAGGACAAATATTCTGCAGCACTTACGAGTAGTTCCTAATTGGTTGATGTGGGCCATTATATCAACCAACGAAGACGCGCCACGACAGACGCACGCAATGAGTGGTGAGCAGATAGTTGATATACACATTTGTATTCAGACATAGTTAGATGAGGATAAATAGTGATTTATTAATAGACACTAACTATGATAAATACAGTTCCACTTTTAGTTTAACCAAGTACTCGCTTCTTCTTACCGTCTTCCTCTGCACGTACCAGTGTACGTGAAGTTACGAGGCACCGCCTTATTCTGTTATCAGAATAAGTAGCTTGTACTGTCACCAGTACAAGCTTCAGGGTGCCCCGTTACACCTGGTAGCACTTCGTAGTCCGTCCAAGGACCGCGTTCACATCCAACATGAATATGTTGGATGATGAAGATGACCAAAGCTTTCACGCTACGCGTGACGGCTACTCCCATTTGAGCGATGTCGAATGGGATGCGGTTGAACGGATGGGTTCAACCATGGGCATCCATGCTGTTAGCGTCATGCTAGAGGCTCTCAATAGAGATGCCCAACATGCTACTATCGCCAAGTTCATTTAATATGAACTTGACGCCGAACGCGAGAAAGTAGCCTTGCTTCACCAACAAGGTTCTCAACAAGCAGAGTTGTTGAGAGAACAGGGTGCTCAACAGTTTGAGCTGTTGAGACAGTAGCACGCTGCTGTTGGTGGGTCGATGAACTCGCGTCGACCCGAGACCTTGAAGATTGACATCTCCAAGTATAGGGGAGTCGAAGAAGACTCCCTCTTGAGATGGTTCGTCGAACTAGACGACGCCATAAGGGCGCGTCGCATCGACGACGGGGATATGCAAGCTGCATTTGCCCAGTCAAATCTGGCAGGACGTGCCAAGACTTGGGCACTGGGGCTCAAGTTGCACGACCCATATGCGTTTGGGTCGTTAAAAGTCTTCAAGTCGCGGCTCAGACAAACGTTTGAACCGCCTAGAGCTGATTTCAGAGCTCGAACCGAACTCTTGAAGCTCAAACAGGGTAAGCGTGATGTGCACGCTTACGCGCAACCTATACGACATCTCACGAGTTGTATAAGTTCCAACCCGGTTGATGAACACACGTTGGTTTCGGTGTTCATGCAGGGTCTTGCGGATGGTCCCGTCAAGACTCACCTGTTCCGACTTGAACTAGATTCACTAGAACAAGCCATTTCAATTGTGGAACAGGAAGACGTCAGTCTGAGACAGGCTCGCGCCAGCTCGACATCATATCGTCAATCGAGACGATATGACAACGGAGGTCCAGAGCCGATGGAACTCTGTTATGTAGAGAGCGAGAAGACTCGCTCTACAGGCTACAAGAAGTTGCAGAGATGCAACAGATGTCAAAAGACAGGACACTACGCTTACGAGTGTAGTGCCCCTCGTCCAGTGTCTCGCGACACTGGGCGTAGTGACCGTCCACCCATGAGAAAGGGGCAGGGACGAGGGTCCGCTGTTGGTGCAAAGACGCAACAACGGGATGGACCGTAAAAAACGGACAGGATCAGTAGGTGCGGAGCACCCTACTGATCCAGCAACGTCAAGAGAATTTGTAGGCCTCTTGATGAAGGTTGCTCCCAACACACAGACATTGTGCGTTGCTGCTCTAGGTAATGAGATCTCACTCATTACCTTGAAACTCGAAGTGACGAATAAGTTGTCCCTTCGAGCTCTAGTCGATTGTGGGGCGTCCAACAATTTTGTGCGACGCCAATCGCTAGAAGATGGTCACTTTAAATTCAGTGAATGTGACACACCCTCCTACGAGGATGACGGTACGTCTTGCGACAGGCGCATCCGTAACCGTCATGAAGCGTATAGTGAAGATTCACTATACGCTAGAAGATACCCAATACGACGATGACTTTATCGTATTGGATTTGGATGACAAATTTGATGTCATCCTTGGAATACCGTGGCTCAGAAGGTACGAACCACGGGTAAACTGGCAACATCGGACAGTAACGATGCCTGCCGCTTGTTCATCAGATGGCCATCTGATGAACGTTTTGGAGAGTCCACAAGCGTGTGGATGTACTACGAGTGAGTGCGATGGCCTCACTTGTGGTACGGTCGTTAGTACGACTGCACAAAACCTTAGTGTACCAAACGGTTACACTTCGGAGCAAAGTTCCGGCGGCTGTGAGGAAACACAGGCTGCGCCGAAGGTCCACCACTCGAATAAGTCGGGTGGACTGGGACAAAGATGTATCCCTAGAGGGGAACATCTAGAAGAGAAACAATCGATCGCTCAGGTTAAGCGAAACGATAATCCTAGATCGACTGGAGAGTCTTTCGTAGAGGATCTCGCTGTGGTTGCGCAACCCCAGCTAGAGGAAGTAAAGGGAATAAGTCCCAAGATTACAAATACGGCGGAAATAAGTTCCCCGAAACCCGCGGGAATAAGTCCCCGGGAAGACGAAGGAATAAGTCCTTCGAAGCCTGAGGGAATAAGTCCCCAGGAAATGACAGAGACATTGAATGTCATAGTCAATAACGGATCATGTGTAGGCGCTTATACACTTGATCTGATTGCGCCTCCGAAGTTAACTTCGGAGATCACTCAGTTGCCAACGCTCGAACATAAAAGGTTCTTGCGTGATCTGCGTAGTGGCAAAGTCAAGCAGATCTGCATACTCGTCGCTGAAGACGAGTATGTAACCGACATAAGGTCAGCAACAGTGTTTACTGAGAACGAGAGAGTTCTCAGTAGTTCATCTATGGACGAGAGTGTCCTAGATGAAAAGACACGAATTGAGCGATATGAGTCCCAATCATGGGAATCGCTCAAGGAAAATCCTCTCTATGAAGATTTGGTTGAATTCAAGGATGTATTCCCTGAAACTGTTCCGTGCGAATTACCGAAGGATAAAGGTATTCGACACGAAGTCGAGCTTAAACCAGGCTCGAAGTACTGTGTCATGAAGCAGTGGCCACTGCCTCGTGAACAAGTACTTGCGATCGACAAGTTCTTTGCCGATCGTTTAGCAGCGGGCCATGTGAGGGAATCAACTTCCCCACATAGCTCTCCGACCTTCTGTGTGCGAAAAGCAACAGGAGGGTGGCGGATAGTGCACGCGTTTAACAAATTGAACGCTGCAACGGTACCGGCTCAGACGCCGATACCGAGGAAGGACGTAATCATTGATGGTATGTCAAAGAGTACCATCTTTTCGTCCATGGATTTGATGGATGGCTTCTATCAAATCCTAATGCGGGAACGGGATATACCCTATACCGCAGTTAGCACGCCTAGCGGCATGCTCTGGGAATGGCTAGTAATGCCACAAGGGCTCAGTAATGCCCCTGCCACGTTCAACAGGTGTGTATCACATCTGTTGAGGCCAGTACGAGAATTCGCGCCGAGTTATTTCGATGACGTATTCATTCATAGTCGAGCTATGGATGGAAAGTCGGACGTTGAGGTTCACAAGTACCACGTCCGACAAGTTCTTACAATCATGCGAAAGCATCAATTGTATGCAAACCTCAAGAAGTGTATATTTGCAGCAAGCGAAATACCACTTCTTGGGTGCATCGTTGGTAAGAACGGTGTACGTCCTGATCCCGAAAAGATCAAGGCGATCACCGACTGGCCCGTGCCGGTCGATGTCAAAGGTCTTCGAAAATTCCTTGGGCTAGCGGCGTATTTGCATAAGTATTCACGCAATTACGCCGAGATGACTGTACACCTCTCTCGTTTGTTGAAAAAGAACGAGAGGTGGTTATGGAACGCTGAATGTCAACGCTCCTTTGAGGGTATCAAGCAGAGCTTGATACAATCCCCAGTCCTAGCAATAGCCGATCAGGACAGGCCATTTCATGTGGTCTGTGATGCCAGCGATTTCGCAATCGGCTGTGCATTAATGCAGTACGATCTTGAAGGCGTTGAACGCGTCGTCTGCTATCAGTCGCGTCAGCTGCAACCAGCTGAGCGGAACTATCCAGTGCATGACAAGTAACTCCTTGCCATGAAGTATGCGCTCGCGAAGTTCAGATTCTATCTATTAGGAGATAGACCCTTCATTGTTTACACTGACCATGCGTCGTTACGCACGACAGTGAACAGCCCGCACCTTTCACAACGAATGGCGCGGTGGCTGTCATTCTTTGCAGAATACAACTTTATGGTCGAGTACAAACCAGGACGACTTAATGTCGTCGCTGATGCACTCTCACGTCGTCCCGACTTTGAAACAGTCGCGAAACCCAACAGTGAGACAGTCACTGTTGCGGTTATGACGTCCTCAGTTCCATCTTTAACATTACATGATGATGTGAGGCGGGCATACGCCCAAGATGGTGAGATTGAGAAGTTGTTGACACATCTCTCCCAACCATCTCGAGAATCGTTGAAACGATTGTCGCCTGCGTATCGATCTGCATCAGATCGATACACTACTCGCAACGGTTTAGTGTATTATACAGCCGTTTCTGGTGACACACCACGTGTTGTCATTCCAGATGATACTGATCTGCGTTTGCGGATCATGTTCGAGTATCACAATGCTCTTATAGGAGGACATCGTGGCCGGGAGAAAACACATCTCACGGTGAGTCGAAACTTTTACTGGTCCCGCCAGTATCAGTTTGTGCGCAAGTATGTTCGCGCATGCGAAGTCTGTCAACGAGTGAAGTCAAGTCCTTCACTGCGTGCACCTTTACAGCCTCTACCAGTTCCGGCTGAGTGCTGGGAATCCATCTCAATGGATTTCGTCTTCGGGTTACCCAAAGACGCACGCGGGAATACGGGTATTCTCGTATTTGTTGACAGATTCAGCAAAATGGTACACCTTGTGGCTGTACCAGATTCAATCACGGCAAGTGGCTGTGCTTGTGTCTTTATTGACACCATCTTCCGACTTCATGGGTTGCCCCGTGAACTCGCATTAAACAGAGATCCACGCTTCACTGCTGATTTCTGGCGTTCCGTGTTCAAATCACTCGGAACGCGCTTGAAGATGTCAACATCTGATCATCCAGAGTCAGATGGTCAGACGGAACGTGCCAATCGTGTCCTTGAAGAGATACTTCGAGGATACGTACACTCCTTTAAGAGTTGGAGTGAGTTTTTGCCGATGGTAGAGTTTGCCATCAACAACTCGGTGCATGCGTCCACGACACATACACCGTTTTACGTGAATGGCTTGCGCCATCCGCGTGTACCCACCTTACTAGAGTGTAACTCTGGTTTAAGGGGGGAGGGACTCGCGCGAGCAAAAACCGATTTGGTTCACGCTCATCACGCTCTGACGAAGAGGTCATTGCGTTTGATGCCGATATCGATAACATCGATATCGAAGAAGATGATGCCAGTGAGAGTGCGGAAGCCCTCACTGAAGACAATGATCCCAGTGAGAGTGCGGAAGCCCTCACTGAAGAAAAGGTTGTTGTCGCTGCAGTGCGCTCACAGCACACTGAAGCTAACGAGTCATCAGATGAGTTCATACTGGCTCGTGAAACGGTAGTCCGTTTTGTGCAAGACTCCATCGCCGAAGCGGTGGATAAGCAAAAGCGAAACGCTGACAAGAATGGAAGGGCAAACACTCTTTTATTTAATAAAGGTGACTTAGTCCTACTGTCTACGGTTAATCTACCAAAACATGTAGTGACTAACTTGGGTAGCAGTAAACTACTACCCAAGTACATTGGCCCATTTCGTGTATTGCACCGCCTAGGCAATGCATACACGATCGAGTTACCACGTAAGATGCGAACGCATCCCACGTTTTACGTTGGTCGGCTTAAGCCGTACCATCAGTACGCTGCTTCTTCCGATGAAGAACGCCCTTGCGCTCAAGCATCTCGCAGAGAGCCTTGTGCTCCCGATGGTGGGCATCAACAAGGGTCTGAAGAGCAGTTATCTCAGCCCGAGACCGATCAACAATCCCACGAGCTACCCTTAGCTCGTCACGAAGAGATTTCAGAGATCTCTCGTTCTCAAGCTGAGCAAAGGCAAACTCAGCTCGATGCTTCGAGGCAGTGTCCACCATCTGGAGACGCCTATTCCGCTCATGCTCGAGATCGTCGCGTAACCCTTGCGTTACGCGATCAAAGAAGCTCTCGGGAACACACCGATCCACATGATCGTGTGGAGAGCGTCTTTCCTCCTCCTCCACCTCCATTAGAGGACTCTCGCGGTGGCCAGCGCTATCTAGTTGAGCAGCTGTTGAACCACCGCGACGTGAACGGACGTCGGACGAGTTATCTCGTCCGGTGGCGCGGCTATCCCCCGTCCTGGGATACTTGGGAGCCCCGCTCCCAACTGATGATTGACGTACTGGGTCTAATTGAGCAGTACGACGCGGCACATCCTGTGCCGCAGAAGGACCGCCGGAGAAAGTCTTCCCGGCACGGTCGTAAAGGGATTTCAGGTTGTCAATCCCTTCGTACATCTCACTAGAGATACGTACGCGCCACCACGGGCTGGTAAGGAGGTAAGCCTCCTTAGGTGCTCGTGCAGAGTTGTTCACACAACATGGGCACGATTCTCCCCAGGAGAGGCAGGGTAACCCTTTCTCCCTAGACAGACGATGCAGCTTGTAGCGTGCACCTGTCGGGATTCGCTTTTCAAACTTATCACGAGCTTTGATAAGTTTGTCGTTCCAAACGTCACGACCTACATCCTCAAGGTTATGGATGTAAGCGTTCCACGCTTGAAGCAGTGAGGGACCATCACGTTTGTGATTCCCACTGTACCATCGATGCTTAAAGAAAGTATCGATGAAGAAATCATTCTCAGCACGATAGTTTTTCGCGCTGGGGTCAAGGTGGTGGATCCTTGACGAATCGAACAGCCGTGTTCGATAACGATCACTCGTCGTCGCCGACAAGTGATCCATGACGGATTTGGGAGGCATCCATGCCTTCTTCTCGGGAGCGAGACGCAACACTCTGCGGTCCCGCTCTTCCTGCGACGTACCGACAGAAGTACTGGCACCTCGTTACGAAGTGGTGTCAATAGGAGAACCGACACCACTGTTAGCGCCCGAGTCTTGCGACCTCGAGCGCCTTCGCTCTGGCGATGGTTCATCTGATTTGTCAGACGAACCAAAGATGCTAAGACGCGTAGCATCATCCATGACACGCTTGGCAGGCGGCTTGGTTTAGATCGCCTTCGAAACGGATCCGTCTTCCGCATCAGGAGAGTATGAGACACCGAGCTCGTACTCTGTGAAGACATGAGTGTCTTCATGACCAGCGCCTGCATAACCAAGTGACACAGGCTGGGTCGCTTCAGCAACCGATGAGACATCAGTTGCTGTGGTTTCTGCTTCGGCGTCCGCACAGAGACGTGCGGGGGCGATCTCGGTGGCCTTGCTCGCGCACCGCATGGGCTTGTTAACCATGCGATGAACTGATGGAAAGTGGACGCGGACCAACAAGTGCAAACCCTGTCCCAAATGATTTGGGACGAGTATCCATTCAGTCAATCAGTCACTAAAGTGACTGATGGTTAAGGGGGGGGTGATGTAACGGGGTGAACCGTTACATAAAATTTATACGAAATTGTTATTAGAATATAATTATAAGAGTTATATTCTCAGAATATTGTCATAAGGACAAATATTCTGCAGCACTTACGAGTAGTTCCTAATTGGTTGGTATAGGCCATTATATCAACCAACGAAGACGCGCCACGACAGACGCACGCAATGAGTGGTGAGCAGATAGTTGGTATACACATTTGCATTTAGACATAGTTTGATGAGGATAAATAGTGATTTATTAACAGACACTAACGATGATAAATACAGTTCCACTTTTAGTTTAACCAAGTACTCGCTTCTTCTTACTGTCTTCCTCTGCACGTACCAAAAGTTCCGAGGCACCGCCTTATTCTGTCGTCAGAATAAGTAGCTTGTACTATCATCAGTACAAGCTTCAGGGGGCCCCATTACAACCCGGCCATTTCGAGTATCCGTGCAAGGGTCTTGTACAACAGTCTGCATATCCTCTATTTCTACCGATAAAGCACAACCATTGCCATTAATTTATATCGAAAGTACATTTAGTAAGATAAAATTATGCTTAACTCATAATCCAAAAATCTTACTCATCTAGTCATGTTCTTTATGCTCTCCTTCCGCCAACAGCGAACTAAACAGTTCAGAATGGACTAACTTTGGTGCGGCGAGCTCGTACCTGATAAAATCCGTAGATGTTTATTAAACGACGCCCTCGTCCATTAAAGTTAAAAGGCAGGCGAAAAAGCAACCAGCAAAATACCCTTGCCACCGCTCCCATGCCCCATTCTGCCGCTTGACGTATGGAAATATGACGGCATTGTTTAGCGTAGTAAAACTACGTTTATCTACTTCTGCAACAGCTCTTTCCAGGTCTCCATCCTTCAGTGGTATGACGACGTCTTCCGCTCGAATCTCCAGAAACAGGGAAATTTGAGTCCGTAAGAACTCTACAATCATGAAGAGTGAGGTGGCGGTCGCGAAGCTTCTCTCGAAATTGGCGACTTGTATCTCGCCATGGAGTTTACGATCCTAGACAGTTGTGTTAAATAAAAATTATTCAGCCATCCGCACCAATTGCCACGGTACCTGTTACGAAGACTGAGTCGAGCCACCCGTTGTACATAGTGTTCTGTAGCTCTCAGTCGCTTGGCGAAACTACACGGTAGTTTTTACCATCCATAATTCAAATTTCCATGTTACTGGCGGCTCTCGTAATTTGATCCAAGCAGCCCGTGTACGCTGCTGGTCTTCAGATGAGCGTCTTATCACCGCAGCTTCTATTTCGACCAGGCTTTTCTCATGAACTAGCCCGGCGTGTCGAATGACGCGATCAGTAGTCGATGGTGGGGACAAAAAGCTCACAAAAATTCTCAATTCCACCATACTTGCATAGTAGTGAAGGAGGAGAACAAGGACGGCATGTTTGTGGAGAAGACGTGCAGGTCGCCCTGGCTTTGCTTGACCTATGCTTACAACATAGTAACGTGAGAAGACGCTCAAAAGATCATCGATAGCTCCCACGAGGAAGTCTGATGATGTTCGTAGGTTTGCGTCCGTCCCGTTCCTGGTACATGGTGTACCACGGCGAAGCAGAAGGGCTGATAAGCGCCCGTGATGTTAAGTAGAAGCGCTCACGGATTGTGCCCCGGATGCGAAGAAGAAGAAGAACGCGAATGACTTTTTGACGACGGTCGGCTGGTGCCTGCTGTGCTGCCTCCTCTTCTACAGTATACAGAGCAAGGGTCCATTCTTGATGGGCATGATATGGAAATGGCATAAACGGTGGCAGCAGTGTCAGTACTAGTAGTGAAATTAATTTAAGCTGTTGATGTAACGGGGCACCCTGAAGCTTGTACTGGTGACAGTACAAGCTACTTATTCTGATAACAGAATAAGGCGGTGCCTCGTAACTTCACGTACACTCGTACGTGCAGAGGAAGACGGTAAGAAGAAGCGAGTACTTGGTTAGAGTAAAAAGTAGAACTGTATTTATAATAGTTAATGTCTGCAATAAATCACTATTTATCTTCATCTAACTATGTCTAAATACAAATGTGTAAATCAGTTATCTGCTCACCACTCATTGCGTGCGTCTGTCGTGGCGCGTCTTCGTTGGTTGATATAATGGCCTATATCAACCAATTAGGAACTACTTGGAAGTGCTACAGAATATTGTCCTTATGACAATATTCAGAGAATATAACTCTTATAGTTATATTCTATTAACAATTTCTTATAAATTGTTATGTAACGATTCACCCCGTTACATCACCCCCCTAACCATCAGTCACTTTAGTGACTGATTGACTGAATGGATACTCGTCCCAAATCATTTGGGACGGGGTTTGCACTTGTTGGTCCGCGTCCACTTTCCAACATCTCATCGCATGGTAAACAAGCCCATGCGATGCGCGAGCAAGGCCGCCGAGAGCGCGTCTGCACGTCTCTGTGCGGACGCCGAAGCAGAAACTACAGCAACTGATGTCCCATCGGTTGCTGAATCGACTCAGCCTGTATCACCTGGTGATGCAGGCGCTGGCCATGAAGACACTCGTGTCTTCACAGAGTACGAGCTCGGTGTCTCGTACTCTCCTGATACGGATGACGGATCCGTATCGACGGCAATTGAATCCAAGCCGCCTGCCAAGCGTGGCATGGACGATGCTTTGCGTCGCAGCATCTTTGGTTCATCTGATGAGTCAGATGAACCATCGCCGAAGCGAAGGCGCTCGAGGTCGCGAGACTCGGGCGCTAATAGTGGTGTCGTTTCTCCAATGGACACCACTTCACAGCGAGGTGCCAGTACTTCTGTCGGCACGTCGCAGGAAGAGCGGGACCGCAATGTGTTGCGTCTCGCTCCAGAAAAGAAGGCATGGATGCCTCCTAAATCTGTCATGGATCACTTGTCGGCGACGACGAGTGATCGTTATCGAACACGATTGTTCGATTCGTCGAGGATTCATCACCTTGACCCCAGCGCGAAAGACTATCGCGCTGAACATGAGTTCTTCATCGATGCTTTCTTCAGACATCGATGGTACAGTGGGAATCACAAACGTGATGGTCCCTCACTACTTCAGGCGTGGAACGCCTACATCCATAATCTCGAGGATGTAGGTCGTGACGCTTGGAACGACAAACTTATCAAAGCTCGTGATAAGTTTGAAAAGCGAACCCCGACAGGTGCACGCTACAAGCTGCATCGTCTGTCAAGGGAGAAAGGATTACCCTGCCTTTCTTGGGGAGACTCGTGCCCATGTTGTGTGAACAACTCTGCACGAGCACCTAAGGAGGCTTACCTCCTTACCAGCCCGTGGTGGCGCGTACGTGTCTCTACTGAGATGTACGAAGGGATTGACAACCTGAAATCCCTTTACGACCGTGCCGGGAAGACTTTCTCCGGCGGTCCTTCTGCGGCACAGGATGTGTCGCGTCGTACTGCTCAATTAGACCCAGTACGTCAACCATCAATTGGGAGCGGGGCTCCCAAGAATCCCAGGACGGGGGATAGCCGCGCCACCGGACGAGGTAACTCGTCCGACGTCCGTTCATGTCGCGGTGGTTCAACAGCTGCTCTACTAGATAGCGCTGGCCACCGCGAGAGTCCTCTAATGGAGGTGGAGGAGGAGGAAAGACGCTCTCCACACGATCATGTGGATCGGTGTGTTCCCGAGAGCTTCTTTGATCGCGTAACGCAAGGGTTACGCGACGATCTCGAGCATGAGCGGAATAGGCGTCTCCAGATGGTGGACACTGCCTCGAAGCATCGAGCTGAGTTTGCCTTTGCTCAGCTTGAGAACGAGAGATCTCTGAAATCTCTTCGTGACGAGCTAAGGGTAGCTCGTGGGATTGTTGATCGGTCTCGGGCTGAGATAACTGCTCTTCAGACCCTTGTTGATGCCCACCATCGGGAGCACAAGGCTCTCTGCGAGATGCTTGAGCGCAAGGGCGTTCTTCATCGGAAGAAGCAGCGTACTGATGGTACGGCTTAAGCCGACCAACGTAAAACGTGGGATGCGTTCGCATCTTACGTGGTAACTCGATCGTGTATGCATTGCCTAGGCGGTGCAATACACGAAATGGGGCCAATGTACTTGGGTAGTAGTTTACTGCTACCCAAGTTAGTCACTACATGTTTTGGTAGATTAACCGTAGACAGTAGGACTAAGTCACCTTTTATTAAATAAAAGAGTGTTTGCCCTTCCATTCTTGTCAGCGTTTCGCTTTTGCTTATCCACCGCTTCGGCGATGGAGTCTTGCACAAAACGGACTACCGTTTCACGAGCCAGTATGAACTCATCTGATGACTCGTTAGCTTCAGTGTGCTGTGAGCGCACTGCAGCGACAACAACCTTTTCTTCAGTGAGGGCTTCCGCACTCTCACTGGGATCATTGTCTTCAGTGAGGGCTTCCGCACTCTCACTGGCATCATCTTCTTCGATATCGATGTTATCGATATCGGCATCAAACGCAATGACCTCTTCGTCAGAGCGTGATGAGCGTGAACCAAATCGGTTTTTGCTCGCGCGAGTCCCTCCCCCCCTTAAACCAGAGTTACACTCTAGTAAGGTGGGTACACGCGGATGGCGCAAGCCATTCACGTAAAACGGTGTATGTGTCGTGGACGCATGCACCGAGTTGTTGATGGCAAACTCTACCATCGGCAAAAACTCACTCCAACTCTTAAAGGAGTGTACGTATCCTCGAAGTATCTCTTCAAGGACACGATTGGCACGTTCCGTCTGACCATCTGACTCTGGATGATCAGATGTTGACATCTTCAAGTGCGTTCCGAGTGACTTGAACACGGAACGCCAGAAATCAGCAGTGAAGCGTGGATCTCTGTTTAATGCGAGTTCACGGGGCAACCCATGAAGTCGGAAGATGGTGTCAATAAAGACACAAGCACAGCCACTTGCCGTGATTGAATCTGGTACAGCCACAAGGTGTACCATTTTGCTGAATCTGTCAACAAATACGAGAATACCCGTATTCCCGCGTGCGTCTTTGGGTAACCCGAAGACGAAATCCATTGAGATGGATTCCCAGCACTCAGCCGGAACCGGTAGAGGCTGTAAAGGTGCACGCAGTGAAGGACTTGACTTCACTCGTTGGCAGACTTCGCATGCGCGAACATACTTTCGCACAAACTGATACTGGCGGGGCCAGTAAAAGTCTCGACTTACCGTGAGATATGTTTTCTCTCGGCCACGATGTCCTCCTATAGTAGCATCGTGATACTCGAACATGATCCGCAAACGCAGATCAGTATCATCTGGAATGACAACACGTGGTGTGTCACCAGAAACGGCTGTATAATACACTAAACCGTTGCGAGTAGTGTATCGATCTGATGCAGATCGATACGCAGGCGACAATCGTTTCAACGATTCTCGAGATGGTTGGGAGAGATGTGACAACAACTTCACTATCTCACCATCTTGGGCGTATGCCCGCCTCACATCATCATGTAATGTTAAAGATGGAACTGAGGACGTCATAACCGCAACAGTGACTGTCTCACTGTTGGGTTTCGCGACTGTTTCAAAGTCGGGACGACGTGAGAGTGCATCAGCGACGACATTAAGTCGTCCTGGTTTGTACTCGACCATAAAGTTGTATTCTGCAAAGAATGACAGCCACCGCGCCATTCGTTGTGAAAGGTGCGGGCTGTTCACTGTCGTGCGTAACGACGCATGGTCAGTGTAAACAATGAAGGGTCTATCTCCTAATAGATAGAATCTGAACTTCGCGAGCGCATACTTCATGGCAAGGAGTTACTTGTCATGCACTGGATAGTTCCGCTCAGCTGGTTGCAGCTGACGCGACTGATAGCAGACGACGCGTTCAACGCCTTCAAGATCGTACTGCATTAATGCACAGCCGATTGCGAAATCGCTGGCATCACAGACCACATGAAATGGCCTGTCCTGATCGGCTATTGCTAGGACTGGGGATTGTATCAAGCTCTGCTTGATACCCTCAAAGGAGCGTTGACATTCAGCGTTCCATAACCACCTCTCGTTCTTTTTCAACAAACGAGAGAGGTGTACAGTCATCTCGGCGTAATTGCGTGAATACTTATGCAAATACGCCGCTAGCCCAAGGAATTTTCGAAGACCTTTGACATCGACCGGCACGGGCCAGTCGGTGATCGCCTTGATCTTTTCGGGATCAGGACGTACACCGTTCTTACCAACGATGCACCCAAGAAGTGGTATTTCGCTTGCTGCAAATATACACTTCTTGAGGTTTGCATACAATTGATGCTTTCGCATGATTGTAAGAACTTGTCGGACGTGGTACTTGTGAACCTCAACGTCCGACTTTCCATCCATAGCTCGACTATGAATGAATACGTCATCGAAATAACTCGGCGCGAATTCTCGTACTGGCCTCAACAGATGTGATACACACCTGTTGAACGTGGCAGGGGCATTACTGAGCCCTTGTGGCATTACTAGCCATTCCCAGAGCATGCCGCTAGGCGTGCTAACTGCGGTATAGGGTATATCCCGTTCCCGCATTAGGATTTGATAGAAGCCATCCATCAAATCCATGGACGAAAAGATGGTACTCTTTGACATACCATCAATGATTACGTCCTTCCTCGGTATCGGCGTCTGAGCCGGTACCGTTGCAGCGTTCAATTTGTTAAACGCGTGCACTATCCGCCACCCTCCTGTTGCTTTTCGCACACAGAAGGTCGGAGAGCTATGTGGGGAAGTTGATTCCCTCACATGGCCCGCTGCTAAACGATCGGCAAAGAACTTGTCGATCGCAAGTACTTGTTCACGAGGCAGTGGCCACTGCTTCATGACACAGTACTTCGAGCCTGGTTTAAGCTCGACTTCGTGTCGAATACCTTTATCCTTCGGTAATTCGCACGGAACAGTTTCAGGGAATACATCCTTGAATTCAACCAAATCTTCATAGAGAGGATTTTCCTTGAGCGATTCCCATGATTGGGACTCATATCGCTCAATTCGTGTCTTTTCATCTAGGACACTCTCGTCCATAGATGAACTACTGAGAACTCTCTCGTTCTCAGTAAACACTGTTGCTGACCTTATGTCGGTTACATACTCGTCTTCAGCGACGAGTATGCAGATCTGCTTGACTTTGCCACTACGCAGATCACGCAAGAATCTTTTATGTTCGAGCGTTGGCAACTGAGTGATCTCCGAAGTTAACTTCGGAGGCGCAATCAGATCAAGTGTATAAGCGCCTACACATGATCCGTTATTGACTATGACATTCAATGTCTCTGTCATTTCCTGGGGACTTATTCCCTCAGGCTTCGAAGGACTTATTCCTTCGTCTTCCCGGGGACTTATTCCCGCGGGTTTCGGGGAACTTATTTCCGCCGTATTTGTAATCTTGGGACTTATTCCCTTTACTTCCTCTAGCTGGGGTTGCGCAACCACAGCGAGATCCTCTACGAAAGACTCTCCAGTCGATCTAGGATTATCGTTTCGCTTAACCTGAGCGATCGATTGTTTCTCTTCTAGATGTTCCCCTCTAGGGATACATCTTTGTCCCAGTCCACCCGACTTATTCGAGTGGTGGACCTTCGGCGCAGCCTGTGTTTCCTCACAGCCGCCGGAACTTTGCTCCGAAGTGTAACCGTTTGGTACACTAAGGTTTTGTGCAGTCGTACTAACGACCGTACCACAAGTGAGGCCATCGCACTCACTCGTAGTACATCCACACGCTTGTGGACTCTCCAAAACGTTCATCAGATGGCCATCTGATGAACAAGCGGCAGGCATCGTTACTGTCCGATGTTGCCAGTTTACCCGTGGTTCGTACCTTCTGAGCCACGGTATTCCAAGGATGACATCAAATTTGTCATCCAAATCCAATACGATAAAGTCATCGTCGTATTGGGTATCTTCTAGCGTATAGTGAATCTTCAATATACGCTTCATGACGGTTACGGATGCGCCTGTCGCAAGACGTACCGTCATCCTCGTAGGAGGTGTGTCACATTCACTGAATTTAAAGTGACCATCTTCTAGCGATTGGCGTCGCACAAAATTGTTGGACGCCCCACAATCGACTAGAGCTCGAAGGGACAACTTATTCGTCACTTCGAGTTTCAAGGTAATGAGTGAGATCTCATTACCTAGAGCAGCAACGCACAATGTCTGTGTGTTGGGAGCAACCTTCATCAAGAGGCCTACAAATTCTCTTGACGTTGCTGGATCAGTAGGGTGCTCCGCACCTACTGATCCTGTCCGTTTTTTTACGGTCCATCCCGTTGTTGCGTCTTTGCACCAACAGCGGACCCTCGTCCCTGCCCCTTTCTCATGGGTGGACGGTCACTACGCCCAGTGTCGCGAGACACTGGACGAGGGGCACTACACTCGTAAGCGTAGTGTCCTGTCTTTTGACATCTGTTGCATCTCTGCAACTTCTTGTAGCCTGTAGAGCGAGCCTTCTCGCTCTCTGCATAACAGAGTTCCATCGGCTCTGGACCTCCGTTGTCATATCGTCTCGGTTGACGATATGATGTCGAGCTGGCGCGAGCCTGTCTCAGACTGAAGTCTTCCTGCTCCGCAATGGAAATGGCTTGTTCTAGTGAATCTAGTTCAAGCCGGAACAGGTGAGTCTTGACGGGACCATCCGCAAGACCCTGCATGAACACCGAAACCAACGTGTGTTCATCCACCGGATTGGAACTTATACAACTCGTGAGATGTCGTATATGTTGAGCGTAAGCGTGCACATCACGCTTACCCTGCTTGAGCTTCAAGAGTTCGGTTCGAGCTCTGAACTCAGCTCTAGGCGGTTCAAACGTTTGTCTGAGCCGCGACTTGAAGACTTCCAACGACCCAAACGCGTATGGGTCGTGCAGCTTGAGCCCCAGTGCCCAAGTCTTGGCACGTCCTGCCAGATTTGACTGGGCAAATGCAACTTGCATATCCCCGTCGTCGATGCGACGCGCCCTTATGGCGTCATCCATTCGACGAACCATCTCAAGAGGGAGTCTTCTTCGACCCCCTATACTTGGAGATGTCAATCTTCAAAGTCTCGGGCCGACGCGAGTGCATCGACCCACCAGCAGCAGCCTGCTGCTGTCTCAACAGTTCAAACTGTTGAGCACCCTGTTCTCTCAACAACTCTGCTTGTTGAGAACCTTGTTGGTGAAGCAAGGCTACTTTCTCGCGTTCTGCGTCAAGTTCATTTTGAATGAACTTGGCGATAGTAGCATGTTGGGCATCTCTATTGAGAGCCTCTAGCATGACGCTAACAGCATGGATGCCCATGGTCGAACCCATTCGTTCAACCGCATCCCATTCGACATCGCTCAAATGGGAGTAGCCGTCACGCGTAGCGTGAAAGCTTTGGTCATCTTCATCATCCAACATATTCATGTTGGATGTGAACGCGGTCCTTGGACGGACTACGAAGTGCTACCAGGTGTAACGGGGCACCCTGAAGCTTGTACTGGTGACAGTACAAGCTACTTATTCTGATAACAGAATAAGGCGGTGCCTCGTAACTTCACGTACACTCGTACGTGCAGAGGAAGACGGTAAGAAGAAGCGAGTACTTGGTTAAACTAAAAGTAGAACTGTATTTATAATAGTTAATGTCTGCAATAAATCACTATTTATCTTCATCTAACTATGTCTAAATACAAATGTGTAAATCAGTTATCTGCTCACCACTCATTGCGTGCGTCTGTCGTGGCGCGTCTTCGTTGGTTGATATAATGGCCTATATCAACCAATTAGGAACTACTTGGAAGTGCTACAGAATATTGTCCTTATGACAATATTCTGAGAATATAACTCTTATAGTTATATTCTATTAACAATTTCTTATAAATTGTTATGTAACGATTCACCCCGTTACAGTTGATGCATCTCAGTTGTCGCTGAGGTTTTTGGGATCGAAAACCATACAAATGCGTTTAACACAAATGCCATTTGTGAAGGGTTCACAGACGGTGTTTGTGAGCTGTCCCAAATAGGGGTGTTGGTGGACATTTAGTCATCGCTGTTAGAGCCACAAATAAGGTTGTCAGGTCGCCTATTATTCCACAGTCGACTCTTTCAACACCGCACCGCTCTCCCCCCGAGACAAAAAAGTAAAAGCTGAACAAACAAAGCAAGAGCTAAAAAGCGGTCGTAGCTTCCGCATTAATGACCAATAGCTTGCACTCGTCGCCCATCTCACCGAGAACAAAAAAGCAGCAGCAGCAGCAGCGCGATGCTGTCGACTGCGACGCTGCAGCACAACCTGGCGGCCCTGCAGACGCAGCTCGAGACGCTGCAGCTCGAGAACAGCGCGCTGACCCGCGACTTGTGCCTCAAGGAGAACTACATCGAGCTGAAGGACCAGCAGTTCCGCGTGATGCAGCGGCGTCTGGAGGAGCTCGAGGGGACCCTCGCGCAGTGGAAGGACCGGTGGCTGCAGCAGGTGAACGCCCAGCAGGCGGCGCGGAGTCGGAGCAGCAGAAGTAGCAGCAGTGGCGAGCAGGACAAGCGCTGGACGCCGTGGAAGTGCAAACCCGGAGGCGCGAGTCGCGTGAAAGCGCTCGCCCAGGCGGCAGCCAAGCTCGAGAAAGTGTCCGAAGCAGACCGCAGTAAACTAATGCCGCTGTTGACTATGATTGAGCGAGAAGGAGCTGGAGCTGGAGCTGGAGATGGGGTCGTGGACGACGTCGAGTTTGTTGACGTGTCCGAGGAGCTCAGCCGCATCCTGTTGCTGTACCTGCTACCAGCGCTATTGGACGCTGTGGGCGATCGGGCACGGAAGCTGCAGTGCTTTAGTCGCACGTACCGGAAACAGACGATGGACTTTCGAGTGTGTATCGATCGGACAGCGGACACGGCGTCGACCGGTATAGGAGGACGCAACGAGTCACGGGACGCAGTTGCTGCAAGGGAGAAGCTGTTGCTGCCATCAGGAGCGTCTGCTTTTGGAGCTTCTTCCACTGCATTTAGTGATGACCAAGTCGTGGCTCTAGGACCACAGCCAGCATCCGAGACAGAAGAGGGGGAGGCACCGCATCTGTTTGACTGCGTCGAGCTGGATCGGCGTGGCGCCGCACGAACTTTTACCCCTCACGGTTCCCGTGAATTGCATGCGACAAAGGCCATGTTCATCTCGCGGCCTCTTAGTGCCTCAGCTGCAACACGAACCGCCGTTTCGTCTCCATCCAATCGAGGGAGAGAAAAGATGCTGGACAACGAATTGTGGCGATACACGCTGACGCCGAAACGCACTAGTCCAACTTTTGCGGTGGATAGTGCACGCTCGCAGACGATGACTGTAGGCGCGCTGCCATCACCAGCGCAGTCTCCGTCTTTGGCGAGTGTGTTTCGGCTAGGTTCCGATGGCGATGCGATACCGACGCCTCCACGCGAAAGCAAGGACGGAAAAATCAAGAAGATCGTGGGAAGCGTGTTTGATCGTCTCAGTCGCCACAAGTCGCAGCAGTCGCTCACTACGAACTCTCTATTTCATGCTTCGCCGGTGCCATTGAGAGTATCGGTCGGAGCAATAGACGTCGCTGGTGACGATGATGAGTCGATTTGTGATGGATGCGGACGCGGTCCGCTCTTAGGTGTCAAGTGGGTTTGCCGCACGTGCCGTCTGCTAGCTGACACAGAGTACGAGATATGTGAGAAATGCTATGGTCAAGGCATCCATGGTAAGGAGCACGATGACGCGTTATTCACTCGTGTCGAGTCCATTGTGGTCCGCAAGTGTCCTCAACTGTCGGCCGAGACAGAGCTGCTACACTTGCTGCGGATCGGCGTTTGTAAAGCTAACCTCAAGAAATTCAGCTTCTGCTTGACATGGATTGCAGACCTGCTGCAGTGTAAGCGTACGACTGACTTGCGGGCAAGGGCACTGGAGATTGCGCACATATCTCCCACCGTTCGTAGCGAGTTCACTAGGTTACTGCGCCAGCTTCTAGCGCGGTATAGAACCAACATCGAGCTAAAGACAGAATGGGAGCCCGCTGCAGGTGTCCAACACAGCGCTGTTGGTCCTGGAACACCTGCGACACGATGTGAAGGCGTGTCGGGCGAGCTTGATACGCTACGAATTTGGGTTAAGGACTCACCTCTGGCTATTGCTGCGTCGACTGGAGTCACAGGCATCGGACCACCGTCGCATGGCTAAGCTGGTGTTTTGAACTGACTGATTGCATTGCTGTGTGAGCGCTGCACTTGCGAATGTATTGGAAAGGTCTGTTATCGATGCTACTACGAAAGAGACGACGATGTCAAGACGGGCTCTGAAGCACAGCAAATTTCCAAAACTACTGTTGCCGGATGTAGCAAGTTTTTGTGTCTGCTATACGACAGGCGCCGCTGCTGCGAAACGGTGTATGCGAGAATCAGCTTGTTGGTGGACAAAGTGAATACAGAGCGCTTAACAGCGGCTGTGCGAAAGATCACGACATCGAGGCGATCGTTTATTTCGACATAGTGATCGAAGATGCTCGCACACCGAGCGGTTATAGCAACACTGGTCACTGCAGATGCGTTTGCCGCCCTACAGCTTGACCTTACGTGGTGCATGGTCGATATAACTTTGATTTCATGAGCAGTTAAACACGCTTGATGAGGCCGAGGAGCTGGATAAGTTTAGCGCTGGACTCTGTGGGAAATTACGTGCCGAATGAGCTTGTTTTGCTCAATGTGGACGATGAAGACGCAGAGCCAAACGCAGTACTGGTGTGCGGGACGCGGGAGCAGTTGAGCGTCATTGCGGTTATTCAGTCCTGTCCATCCGGCAAGGTTGTGTTGTCAGCTACCAGATTTTGCAATGCCAGGACCTCGTAGCTTCCATGCGCTGATGCAGATCGGCAAGTAGTGTACGAGTGATAAAAGCAGAATCCAAAATGTTGGATTTCACCGGAGCTAGGTCATCACGTGCAAAGTGACCTGTGACTGTGCCCGGTAGCTGGTTTGATGTGGATGAAGACATTGCCGATCGGTGGAAACTTCTGATACGCCAAGAGACTCAAAATTGATGTTGGACCTATACAACGTTGTTCACGTCTAGAAAGACGCGGTGTGTATTCCTGTACGACGATGTCACTCGTTTATTGGTGGTAAACGAAAGACGCGATTACACCACGAAGAGAGACGTGTCTACGAGCTCACAATGACACGATATCTTGGTCATGTAATTTCTGACACGATGCCACACCCTCCTACTGCAAATTCTCGTAAAGAAGGCCAGTCGATTACTTTGGCAGCCAACCCACTACGAGTCATTCGCCGCTGGAGCATGCATCGAAGACGGAGCGCATTCCTCGGGGACACGTGGCAAGCTTCAGTGTATCTACCTGAATACTGCAGCTGGTACATTGATTGTTCGTGGAAATCTGGATGGAAAATAGGTACCCGTGGGTTGCGGAGAGCCTCGTGGATTATTTCGACCGATAGGATCGTTACGTAGCACACGATGTGAATACGTTTGGCCTCGCTCGTAGTGATTTCCTACCGTCTGCTCACGGTGCATCGAGTGAAAAGGCTTAGAGCTGGCGAAATATGTCAATCAGCAATAGTGTCGAAAGTGTGTGACCAAGTGTTGTTGTCATGGAGGAAGTTGCAGCATCTGTTGGTACCGCGGCTCAGATTGGAAGGTGTGACCGGTCTTTGGGTCTACCGGACGAATCATCGAGTAGGATCCGCCACGTCGATTTACTAACAACGTCTGAAGCGCAAGGAATTCGGGTGACGAGCTTATCCAAAGCACAACGACTGACGTTACAGAAATGTGCGCACTACAACCAACAGCTCCGTTTGTGCAATGAAGTCGACGGGAACGATGATGGTACGATCATCGGTCGAGCCATTTATGTGGGAATGAATCTCGGTTGTCTCTATCGTCGAAAAGACAAACGCGCATACTCTATCCTCACCTGGTAATCATCTAGATAGTATCTTTATCCTCGGAGGATGGAAGACTGTCGATTTTGTCTTGGTACAGATATTCGCGTACAAGTAGGTTTCCGTAGGGCTCCGACCCAGGGTCATTGGTCCGGGTCCGATGGGTCGCCCTGGTCCAAAAATACTAGTGTGCACTCAAATAATCTAGAATCACAACAGCGCTCCCAAATATACTAGTGTAAAACGTGTTACGGATTGAGTGGACAAGTCAAGCGTTCGTGTGGCAAAGTCCTTCAAGAAAACCGTCAAACAAGCCAACTTGTACATCCCAAAATGCACTAAAATTGAGTAGCATTGTATGTGTGGTTGATGTCCATGCATGCTATCGGTAACAGGCACCTCTCTTCTGCCATGATCCTGCTCATCATCCACTATCTTCAATTTAGATCTTGCCAATTCTACGGATCATCGGATACATATCGCTGTACGTTCACATTTTAAAGACGCATGTACATCTTCCAATCGTTATACTTACAAGCTTGTCTAGGTGATCGACTGCGTTTAACTGCCATTCTTAGGTGATTACAAAGAGCTCGTTGCGGGTTACCAGACTCGAGAAGATCACGCAGTTGCTTAAATTCCACAAACTGATGAGGCAATGAATGCTATAGAATTAGCTTGAGTAGCGCCCTCATAATAAACTCAATATCATTAACATATGCGATGCACACACCTTCGGATGTTCTGATTATAAATATGCACGCATTGCACCTTGTTCGGGTAGCTTATAATGTATCTGATGCTTGCTCATCAAATACTCGGCCAAATTATTGGTACCACGCATAAAGCTGTACATCCATATGTAGCTCCGCAAATCGCTGATTTGCCACGAATCTTTGGGACCTGACAAATAGCTTCGCCTTCTCCTCTGAGCCTTACAAAGTACATCCAAACCCAGCTCGTCTTCTTGCCGCCATTAATACTGGCAGTACCCTATGTTTGCCGGTGACATTGCCGGCAGAGGCGACCGACGATGCAGGTTCTGGTTGCATCGGACATGTAAATTCATTCGTCGGACAACTCGTATCCACATGACTCATAACTCGTATAACCCATACAAATTGCGTTCCACCATGCTCGTTCCATGGTCTAACTCATAACGCGTGACTCATAACTATTGGGAATATCGGAGTTCTTGTAAGACAAAAGAGCATACGATTATACTCCTGAGCTTAAAAAATCCTATTTCTGTATGAAAATGCACAAATGAAGGGGATCTAATTGTTGAGAGAAGCAAACCAGTGCATCCAAGAAATTAGAGTGCTATGAGTGGTGGCAGCCATACGGATGGACATGTGGAATATCATCCGCATTTGGCCGTGAAGGCGATTAAGATCCGTACCTGAATAAAAACAAGAACGTAAAGTGTTATTGTGATTGTAACGGGGTCGAACCGTTGCACGTGTTTTTCCATGAAAAGGCACGGAAAAGTCTGAGAAAGGTTCCAAGTGCGGTACGCACTCAGACCTTTCGTGTGGTTGGGGTACAGCGATTGCGTACCTATCGCAAAGTGTGTGTCACACACGGATGAAATCACTACTTGACGTCGTCACGTGATGTCAAGTATGTCATCAGCACGCCTGTATTCAGTTGAAGCGCGCTGTAAAGACGCCGTCTCATTAGAGCGCGTGTCTAACCTTTTGTCTTTAGCCAATGACAAATTAGATTTCCGTTTGATTTGCTGAATAGAAATCATTTTTAAATTTGCAATTTTTGTGTGCAGGAGGACAAGAGTTCGCGTCCGTATCAAAATCAACACAAGCTCGCATCTATCGGTGAGGAATTCGTAAGACGCTCACCCAAACCTCACAACACGCAAGAGAAGACGGTAAAACCGCTTCCTCGTAGATGCCTGATGGTGTGTGTTGAGGTAGTGCATGGCACCTTGAAGCACCCGCCTACAAAGCTACAAAATTCCCGCTATAATTGTCTGATTATCACATTCAATTCCGACTTTCAATTTCTTCAGACCCTTAATCGCTGTCTATGGAACTTCCTTCTGTCAACCGTGTTGCAAATAGACTCAAATCACTTTTCAGTATCGTACAACATCAGCCTAAAAAATTAATTGGCAATCCTCACTGACTTTTGAAGCAAGTCCAACATCGAAGGGCTCATGGCGAGCAATTTCGGCCCGAAGTCCAGGTAGTATAGCATTTATGACTTCATCATTTGCTAAATCCCTCTCACCGTAAATTTGGATGCTGCGCAGCTTGTGGCGCTGCTGGAAGAGTCTGACTATCCACCGGAGAACTTGATGGTGTCCTCAGATAGGTTAAGTCGTCAAAAAATATCTGGTCTTGACCTCATTGATTTCTCCAATCAAGAAACATTTCTTATTTGGCAATTTAAGCACCCAAGTTGATGGGTCTTCCTTCATCTTCCTAATTCCTTGGCACATGTCGCGCATTTGGCGGAAAGTTTGTCATATCTGCTGTATATTCACGCTCAGTGCGCTTCTTGGTTGTCAGAAGAATTTCGTTTTGGCTGATTCAAATTACAAACTTGCTGGAAACCCATTTGCCAGAAGCCGTTGACTCATTTTATATTCTTGGCCTTGTGCTGGCAGATCTCGAGCCTTTGTGCATCTATGATGCGTGCTCGAGATATATTAAAGGTGTTTTCGAAGGAGAAACCGCTAGTTTACTAATTTTTCACATTTACAAAAAAAACTCCTTGTAACGGGGTGAATCGTTACATAACAATTTATAAGAAATTGTTAATAGAATATAACTATAAGAGTTATATTCTCAGAATATTGTCATAAGGACAATATTCGGTAGCACTTCCAAGTAGTTCCTAATTGGTTGATATAGGCCATTATATCAACCAACGAAGACGCGCCACGACAGACGCACGCAATGAGTGGTGAGCAGATAACTGATTTACACATTTGTATTTAGACATAGTTAGATGAAGATAAATAGTGATTTATTGCAGACATTAACTATTATAAATACAGTTCTACTTTTTACTCTAACTAAGTACTCGCTTCTTCTTACCGTCTTCCTCTGCACGTACGAGTGTACGTGACGTTACGAGGCACCGCCTTATTCTGTTATCAGAATAAGTAGCTTGTACTGTCACCAGTACAAGCTTCAGGGTGCCCCGTTACACCTGGTAGCACTTCGTAGTCCGTCCAAGGACCGCGTTCACATCCAACATGAATATGTTGGATGATGAAGATGACCAAAGCTTTCACGCTACGCGTGACGGCTA